TTAACTTTCATGCAGCACGTGATTAGACTTTTAATAGCCTGCGATGAACACATTTTAGGAAAGGTAATTTATTACCTTGAACACGACTCAGTATAAAAGTAATCATAGAAAAGATAATTCAGCTTAATATAATTATAAGATCAAAGGGGAATATGCCAATTATAGCAAGATTGTCATGCATTTCGGAGTTAATTTCTTCTTGGCTTCCTTTGCTGACTTGTGAAATGTGCTTATAATATTATTGGTTAAATGGGCTTTGACACAAAGAAGAGTGGGGCAAGTGAGTTACAATTACACCACAACCCTTTTCAACGCAGCAGCCTTAATAGCATTTGGATGGATTCTCTCATGGTGGGTCATTCCTTAGCTTTCTCTAATGACTACTACCACAATTGTCTTTAATTTAGGTATTCACACAAAAGAAAGGCAAGACATGTGATATATTTGGTTTCTTATCCTTTGGTTGTCATGGTTGGCTAGGGATCAAGCAACTTTCAGCTTTAAAGATTGAAAAGGGAAGGGAAAATTGGATCTAATCAGATGTAGATCTTGGTTATGGCTGATATCCAAAGCACCTTCTTTTCAGTTTTTTTTTTTTTTTTTGTGGTATTATTACCCTATGGATTGCATCAGTGCTTGTTGTGGGGTAACACTTCCTTGGAGTAGATATAGTAATGCCTTAGATAGTTGTAGATATAAGCTGATTTGAGGTAATGGGAAGACTTATGTTAATTGCTATGACGATTTGCAACAAAGCAAGTGATAAAAGTCATTAGGTCCAGAATCAACAAAAAAAAAAGAAAAAGAAAAGGAAGGGGTGTACAATAGTGTACATTTTATGGGGGATTAAGGCAACACTTCACTTTGTACCATGTTGGTGATTTGACAGTAACGTGTTTTTGAATGCTACTACATGGTCTATAATAATTAGAATAACAGATATTTTGGGAGATTCCTAACAATGTGTAGTTTTCAATAAATATGCGACAATTTTTGTAAGGCGGGTACCTTACTAGCAAAGGCGCATAAAGATATTTTGGCACAATATAATTATGATGCCAAGGAAAAATGCTTAGCGTAAAAAAACTGTCTTGTATTTTGAAGTTTCTTCTCGGCTTCCTTCACGGGCTTGTGAGTTGATAATAGTTAGAGAAATAGGCCTAAAGCAACCAAGAATGGGGCCAGTAGCTCAATTATGCCATAATTTCCAAGAGTGTAGCCTTGTAAGCATTTGGAGGGATTGCCTCTCACGGTGCAATCTTTCTTTGCAGCTTTATCCAATGACTACTATCGCCATATACGTCAATTTAGAGGCCTTTTCATTTGTAGAAAACAAAAGCAAAACATATGGGAATCTATTTGGTTCATTGTCCTTAATTCAGTCCATATGGTTAATGGCAGGGAATCAAGCACTTTTCAACTCTAAAAGATTGAAAAGGAAGGAATAATGGATCTCATTAAAACTAAATCTTGGTTATGGCTGAAATCCAAAGCATCATCTTTTGTCCTTTTTGCATTTGGTATTATAGCCCTATAGATTACATCAATTCTAGTTATGGGGCAAATTTGGTGAGCATATACAGGGATACTTAATAGTGTGAAGCAATGGCAATATAGGAAGATTACTTAAATTTGAATTGCAAATTTGGCCCAAAGCATGTAAAGAAAGCCATTCCATTCAAAACCAAAGAGAAAATATAGGTAGTAAGGTTGACAATGGTGTATCAATTTTTAGTAGGACTAGGCAGAATTTTACATTAGCCTGTCTTTGATCTCTAATAGATGGTCCAGAATTACGGAAATTGGGGATATTTTGGGGCATTCTTAACAGTGTGGACAAGAGGGGTACCTTAGTAGGGAGAGATTTACTGTCTAGTATTGCTAAGAAAGATGAACTTAACACTTTGAACTACACTTGAAAAATATGACAATACTCATAAGGATAATTCAGTATAATATAATAATGAGATGACAAAGGAAAAATTAAGTGTTACATTTTGTGAGTTGTGCTTGTATTATCACGGCTCCCCCTTCTCAGAAAAAAATAAAATATAATAATAATAATAATAATAATAAGTACGATTACGATGAAGATGTAAGAAAATATTTCCTTCTATGTTTGTCTGTTATATAAATTGTTGAAGATAAAGTATTATATTGCCCGGATATAAGTATTGGGTAATACTCAATACGTAAATATGATAAAATTTTAAAATATTAATATACAGATATGACAATATATATTAATTAAAATATACTTATATTTACACATGCATATTAAATATTTTATAATAACATTAACTGAAGACTAAACTGTCATTTTGGTTTCTAAGAGAGTTTGCAATTTTTACTTTAATCCTTGAAAATTTTAAAATGTCACGTTAGTTCATGATTTTTATCTCCGTCGGACATTTAAGTCCATAAACCAAGACGTTATTAATACACAGTAACAGAATGCTGATATGTCATGTTAATTGACATGCGCCGTTGTTTACGTGACAAAACGACGCTGACGTGTCACGTCAAGTGACACATGTCATTAATTATATGGCAAAAATGACGTCGTACATGGTATAGTATATTTTTTCGTTTTATTTTAGTCTTTAAAATTATAACTCGTCAGATATTTTAGCCCCTGATATTATCACTGACAAGCATTTTAGTTTTTGAGATTGTCACTTACGAGCATTTTAGTACCTGAGATTATCACCGACAAACATTTTAGTCCTTAAGAGAGAGAAAAAAAAGAAGGGTGGTAGAGGTTCTATTGAAAAACGATCTAGTGGAGGAGATGATAGAAAAAGTTTATGTAGAGCTGCATTTGCAAGATGTTTGGTGGCTTTGTAAGAAGGGGAAGGGAAGATAAGAGGGATTAGAATTCTTATACTCATCAAATGCTAGAAAAGTCATACTGAAACTTTTATTGTTGTCCTAACCCATTGTAAACTGCAACATAATCAAAACCAGTCGCTATTGTTTAGAACCAACACATCATTTTCAAGTCACATCTACGTAATAGATTATCCTCACACCAATAACAATTTCATCACTTACAACTCAAGATTTTTTGCTCAAGTGAAGCCCAAATACTGGTATGAATACATGCATATATACAAAGAAAAACTATGAAGAAGAAGAGTGTGTAATCACATTCACACAAGAAGAAGCTAAAGAATATGTAAAGGAAAGATATGAATATGAAAGTAAAACAAACTCAAAAAGCAACGAGTTGTAATTATAATTTCAAGGACTAAAATGTTTATCAGTGACAATTTGAAGAACTAAAATGCTAGTCGATGATAATCTCAAGGACTAAAATGGCCGATGAGTTATAATATCAAGGAATAAAATGAAATGAAAACATATACTATATTACATACGATGTCGTTTTTGCCACGTTGACACGTGTTACTTAACATGACACGTTAGCATCGTTTTGTCATGTAAGTAATGATACGTGTTACTTAACGTGACATGTCAGCATTCCGTTACTCTCTATTAATGATGTCTGAGTTTAGGAACTTAAATACATGACAGAGATGAAAGTCAAGAATTAACGTGACATTTTAAATTTTTTATAGACTAAAGTGCAAGACACAAATTCTTTCGGAGACCAAAATGACAGTTTAGTTATTAATTGAATTTTAGTTAAATCATGATTTGATTAAAATAAAACTTTAAATATCAAAAAAGATTTCAATAAATGTTATAGAATATAAAAAATTATCACAAATAATTAAATAGCAGCATGATATGCGTAGGATACGGATGAGAGCATATTATACACGTATCGGACACAAATATAACGGCCATAAGTCCATCTTCCTTGCGTAGCTGTGTATAAGAGTTACAGAGGGACAAGAAGTGACGGGCAAGCATTTTTTATAAAATTGTTTCAACAATACCGACCACTTTTAATGTAAAATATTTGTAGCAGATCATGTTGGCACATCAATCTCTCTACAAATAAATTGTTCCATGTCACAAGACACAACTAAATAACAATAGGAGAAAATTGGTTGATGAATTTCTTTTATTTATTTACTTATTTATTGTCAATGGATGATGAATTTCTGAACTTCAAAGTTAAAGAAATAGAGGTTGTATGCGAATTGACATGTTCCAACGGCTACCTGCAACTTGCAGCAAATGCATAAGCGAAAGGATTCTACGGAAGTTCCACGCACGATTACATTGATGCCGTAGATTCATGAATTAATCCACACTTTGTTTCTTCCCTGTTCATTGCAATTAAACGAGTGTTGTAATTTTCAAATTCATTAATCCTTAATTTAAGCCTTACTTAAAATTAAATATATGTTAACTGTGAGTACATGCATTATCAAAATTCAGGATTGTTGCTCACAATAATCTATCCACCTGCATTATCAAAATTACTTAACAAAATTGTTATTTATGGTTACCTATTTAGCTCCAACATAATTGTAGCCAATGAAAAATATCCGTAAAGTGAACCAAAAATTACTCTGACCTCAAGATTTACAATAAAAAAATTGTTATTCAGATATATGTTAATCAAAATTTACAGTTATAATTAGTTATTATTATGATTTTGTTAAGTGCAAAAATCTTTATATCATTAAGTAAAAAGGACTATAAACATTTAATTTACACAATAAAAAACTCCTCTACTTTACTAAAAAATATTCAGATTCATCGATTTCCCAGTTCAATAATCGGAATAGCCCAATTCACAACGACATAAACATAAACACTTCGATAGCAAAGTCAAATCAAATTGAGCCGCAGATGAATTTTCACACTTTCGAGCGATGAACGACTATAAATGAACAAAATCCACTAACCCGCAAAAAATTAATTACCCAACATTTTAAATCTAATTTCTTGACTGCATCAGGAAATTAAAAGAAGATTGAAACCAAAGTGTCCAAAAATTGTCTATATTCTTTGCAATATTAGCAGTAAGATGAATGGTATAAATATAACTTAAAAGTCAGAACACAACTAAAAAAAAAAAGAAAGGAAAAACACTATCAAATGTTGTTCTTAGGTACTACATGGAATTGTTGTTGTTGTTGGTGTTGTTGGGCTGTTCATGTTGGAGTGCCTCTTCAAGCCAAAACCAAGACTCCTCCATCAACTCTGGGCTCAACCTGAACATCAAAACGCAGAATTCCATCTGGGTAAGTGCTCCATCTCCATCAACATCTCCTTCCCTCATCATGCTCACAAGTTCATCCTCCTTCAAGTCCTCAAGACCCAAGAGAGCAGCGTTTTTTCTTAAGCTTTCCAACGTGATCACTCCTTTATCCTTATCCATCAGCAATTGAAACCCATTACAGAGCTCCTTAATTAGACCCTCCCCACCAAGTTTGTTGGCCATCACAGGCAACAAGTCTTCAAAGCCAATTCCAGCCATTCCTTTATTGGTGTCAAACTCAAAAGAGAATGAATATGTTGAATTTGAATGTTATGTGAGTTTCTTTGGTGAGGTTGGTGACTAGTAAGTCCTATTATATATATTAGGAGCGAAAAAGAAGAAGAATAAGAAAAATGGAAAAGATCATAGAAGGGGGTTCAAGGAAGGAGAGGAAAGCACATAAGCAATGATCCCTTGTGAGATAACAGCTAAGGAACAGAGAATTATTCGCTCATCGCCTATGATTCTGCATAAGGAACCGCAGTTGCTTCCCGGTTTCCTAGAAGGTTAATCAGGGGTATTTCTGTCAATTCATTTGTCTTATTTTATAGGTAATAATAAGCTTACTTAGTAGTGTATATTATAATAAAGTATATGATCATTCTGAATTATTTTTTCTTTTCTTCTTTTCCTAATTCCGGAAATATAATAAATAAGAGATAGAATTAGATGTACATGGCATTTATTTATAAATAACATTTAATGAAGATTTTTAATGTTTTAAATAGAAATTGGTTGGAGGGAGAAACTTAAATCCTGTTTATTTAATTTTAATAAATATTAGTCTCAGCTCTTAAAGTAAAATTTAAAGAACTTATAATTGTAAGATTTTATTAAACTTAGTCATAAAAAATAAAAATTAATAAAACTCTAATTTTTAAAATAGTCATTTTAAAAAATGAAAAGTTATTCAAATAACTTCTCATATTAACTAAAAATTTAATTTTTTAAAGTTTATTTTAAAAACTTAAATAGGCATACTAAATGTTCTCAAAGATTAATTTTTTAGAACAAAAATATTTTTATGGAAAGAAAAATTAAAACAAATAGAGTCAAAGTTTACCTCAAGAATGCCTAAAGGGGAGGCTTGTTGTAGAGTTGTAGTGTACCATTTTTGCCACAATTGACGAAAGAGACTATGAAATTGCAGTCAAAATGTGAAGGGAGGCTGAACCAAAAATAATAGGGTCAAAGTGCATAGCCAATTGGTGACAAATTTAATTACAAGACCTAACCAACCTAAGGAATAGGATTTTGTCATGCTTGGCTGGTTCCAAACGGACCAAGTCGGTGGATTCTATAACTGGAATTTGGAAACCCCGGTTAAGTTTCCCTGCTCCTACATTTTCAACCAGCAAATGTTGTCCTCTTTCACCCCTATTTCTTCCTCTTTTCCAATTTATTTTATTCTCTTTTTTAAGTTTCATTAAACAATTAACGTACAGCAATGGGAGTATTGTGAAAGGTGAACATAACTATTTTACTCAACCAGACAATTTTAGTTCATTGGAAAAAAAAATTCATTTAAAATGAATTTAAATCAGCTGTTATCATGATTAAACTGCATAAAAGATAGGGGAATTATTTATCTTCTACTATTTAATTGATTATGGATTAAAAAAACTATAATGGGAAAGTGGGAGGAGAGCAAATCTGAAAGCGTGATGGCCACCCAATCACAAAAAGGTTAGGAAGCGGCCTTTTATCAAATCCACGTAGGCATTTGTCATTATGACGCTACGATGAATAGAAGTTTATTCAATCCATCCAAATATGAAATTCCCAAGAAGTTGCCTAATACTACATTTCCAAATTACCCCATTTGTAAAGGAATGGATAATGAGAAAGTTACATGTAAGAACCAAGATATATGAAATTCACATTTCACATGTCCCACATATTTTGACCAAGAAGTAATATGAGACAAACAAAATATTCATCCTTAATTGGAGCAATAATGTGAAACACAATTAGCTACCTGCCATCTATAGTAACTGTCAATTCATTACGTGAAAAAGTTTCCAATTTACTAGAAGTAGATGCTCTGCTTGAAGGGCATCTCCTAACAACAAAAGCAGGTTCCTTGGGACTTGGAAGAGTATTAGATTCACTACCAAGCATAAAAACCACATTTGACATGGTGGGTCGTTCATTTGGGTCTTCTTGTAGGCACAAGAGCCCCACATTCACACATTTCAAGCATTCATCTGCATTGCATGTTTGACACACTGTCTGGTCCATGAACTCCATTGCCCTCCCTTCTTTCCACAAATGCCAGGCCTTAAATTGAATCAAGAATCAAAATGCATTAGGAGCTATGTAATATGCACAGTTGCACATCCTAGTAGTAGCATTCACCATACTTACATATCCTAGAAGACTCAATTCATGTTCTACTTGATAAAATCCAGTGTTCCTTTTTCCACTAATAATCTCAAGTACCACCACACCAAAACTAAAGACATCAGACTTCACTGAAAAATGTCCATCAAGTGCATATTCTGGTGACATATATCCACTGCATTATATAAATTGTGATGTCTGAGGAAATAATGATGATAATAATAATAATAATAATAATAATGCTACATAAAAGCACTTAAATTAAAATTTGCATTGTCATAAAACTTACTAAGTTCCAACCACTCTGTCTGTGTTTGCTACTGTTTCTTTTCCTCCAAATATCCTTGCTAAGCCAAAGTCTGAGATTTTAGGATTCTTTTCTTCATCTAGTAGAATGTTGCTTGTTTTCAAGTCCCTATGAATAATCCTCAACCTAGAATCTTCATGTAGATAAAGAAGCCCTCGAGCAATTCCCAAAATAATCTTGAACCGCACATCCCAGTCTAGTACAACACACAGCTTCCTATCTTGAAGTCCATTAGGGGCATGGCACATTACATTAGTCTCTACTTCAAAATACAATTTTGAGAGTACAATAAAAATGAAAAGAGTTAGCCAATAGAATATTTCAAATGCAAGAAAGAGTCTTACCAAAAATGAAAGCATCCAAGCTTCGATTTGGCATGTACTCATATAGTAGCATCTTTTCATCTCCTTCCACACAGTAACCTAGAAGTCTAACTAGGTTTCTATGTTGAAGCTTGGCAATCAACACAACTTCATTTTTAAACTCTTCTAAGCCTTGTCCAGAACAACTTGAAAGTCTCTTCACTGCTATTTCTTGTCCTCCAGGAAACTTTCCCTGACAGTATTCAAAATTATTATCCATTTATATCAATCACTAGCAAAGCTCAAAATGAAAATCGTGAGTATTAAGAAATTCTTAATTACCTTATAAACAGGACCAAATCCCCCTTGTCCAAGCTTATTTGAATTTGCAAAGTTATTAGTAGCATCAAGTATGCTCTCCAAATGAAAATGTGGAATATCTATGGCTTGTGCATCATCTTCTTTTAACCTACCGGATTCAATCAGGTCTCTTACATATCTCTCACTGTCATAAAAGTTAATCCCTGAGTTTTTCTGAACATATCCCTTGCTTTCTGAAGTAAAAGTCAAACAAATAAACAGTGGTTCTGAGTAATAGGTTTACTGTTGATGAAGTATCCACTAGAATATTGGAAATTTTTCTTCTTTCCTTTTCATGAATTTTAGAGGAAATTAAGTTACCTTGTGTCTTGGCCTGTCTCCTTTTCCGCAAGTAAATACATGCAGTTGTTGAGAGAAGAATTAAGCTAATCACAGTTGTAAAAGTGATTACAGTAATCTTAGGTAAGGACAGATGCCTTTCTGATTGATAGCTATGATTGCTTTCTGCAAGATATAAAAAGATGTCACTTATGTTTAGATAACTAACACATTTTATAAAAGTATTCATCAACTATGATATGTAGTTTTAAGAAAATCAACAGCAAAGTATAGGTTCTCGTCTGCTGCTCCACATTTTATGAAAACACCTGAACAAGTTAGAAACAATACTGGGTTGAAAACACATTTTGGAATTAGGTTGTAATTTGTGCCAAACTACAAACTTGACTAGTCAAAAATTAGAAACAAAGTTCTGAAATTTCTCCCTTGCCATAAGTTGAGGTAAGGTTCAACTCCTGCTGAATTGAGTTCCACATAGGCTATACAAGGCAGCTACATAAAGATAGTTTAATTTATTCTGTATTACAAAAATCACTGCATAATATGTGGAGTTATAAATACTATACAATACAAAAACATGCATATCTCTCAACATGAAGAGGGGAGAACGAGAAAGTAATATGCAAAGATCTATCCCCTGATAAATAAGTATAATGTCATTACCTAGAGTACAATTTAATTTCAAGCCATCCCAAAGAAAATTTTTGTTGCAAAGGCATCTCTTTTTCCCATCACTGGTAGTGTTGCAAGTTGAATTTGGCCAGTCCTCGCAATCCAACAATGAAGAACAAATTGGCTCTAATGGCAGCTGCCAACTTAATTCTATTTCTATTCCATGTTTTAGGGGAGCATTAGAGCTAAAGGTGCTTGGATCAGCGTAGCAATTGCCAGTAAAATGAAATGGAAATGACTGGTTGAGAACTAGAAACTTATCACTTCGATCACAGTAAAGTGCATTTTCTCTGTGGATCAAGAACTTTTGTGTTTCTGAGTTAATGCTTATCACTGGATAGATTCCCGCAGGAGTCTCAAAGTCAAGCTCCCCAGTGGAAATGTTGCAGTGAAAACTAAAGTACTTGGGATCACCACAATTTGGTCCTGTGCCAAGGGGATACGGAATAAAGTTTGTACCACAAGTCCCACAACTTCTTCCAGTGGATTCTGCAGAAGAAGAATTTCTGGCACTTTAGAAACAATAATTTGCATTACAATCTCTATCTAGTTCCATTAAAGGTTCCATGATTGACCATAATTCCATGAACCTATATTTTCCAAATGAAGCATACCTATATTTAGTGGCCTAATCACAAATTGTTTTATAATAATATATTAAACATCAATTTCTTTAAAAAAATTACAGCTTCAACTTTTTCAATGAACAGAACTTAATTATCAAAGTCAATTGCATAGAATTTATTTTGCGTGAGTACTTCAAAATCAGGTCTAAAATCAACGTATAAGAGTGTGTTACTGAGAATGGAAGTAAAATGAATAAGGAAAAGAATAAATGAGAGATATTTGAAAAACAATTGGATGATAAGTCTGAATGGAAGAGAATTTGTTAATGTAGATAAATGTGGAGAAAATGCAAAATTTATGATTAGTAGTTGGTGATTTTATATATCCACACCCTTGAGCCGACAGTGTAGGCAATCATCCTGAATTGGAACCAAAAGCATTAGAAGAAAGTAAGAACTGGTTTTCCCTTCAAATCAACAGTTATATTCAACTACATTGAATATAATTTCACTCAAGACATTTCATTTACATGGATTTAAGAAGGTGATAAAAAAAAGAGATACCTATATCAGAAAATGCCACACGAACATGCAGGTCACACCCATCTTCATACTCTTCTTCTAGATTGTTCAAGTCCTCAGACCAAATCCAACAAACGGCATCCTTACTATCACCTTGCCTTGCCTCTTCATTCTCTTGATATGAATATGCATAGCACTGGCAATTATTTAGGCACTCTAACTTACATTCATCTTCATTCTTAGCATTGAATTGAGCATCCGGGTTCCCTACTTTCATCATTTTCAAGCTCAAAAAGGTGTCACTATTAGCATCCCCACTACACACGTTTGTTCTTCTGCTGCATCCACCTGAAAAGTCTCCAGCATTCCAACTTTCAATAGAATTAGGCTTGAACCCAGGTAAACACTTGCACATTGAATCATACTTGCTGTTACAGGTTCCAAAGTTTCCACAAGCATTGAACACACTGCATCTATCTCTTGGCTCTACCCAAACCAACAACCACTTTTTCTCTGAATCCATCTTAAGATACTGAAGCTGACCCCAATAATTCATTACCAACCTTGTGTCACTATACAATGAAGAAGTGAGAAAGGGAACAGTGTTGTTTGGGGATACCCTCAAGGTGAAATTTGACAACAAGTAAGATATGGCTGTAGACATCTCACCAGTTCCAACAAATTTACCTGACACACTGCTTTTCCAATACCGGATGGATCTCTTCCATATGATATACTGATTCTCTCCTTGATCTTTCTCAAAAGAGAAGTTCCCCGGTGAAGGGTCTTCATAACTACTCCATGAAGTTAATGCTAAATTGTCATGCATTTTCATGCCAGGAAGAAATGTATCTGTTGGATTAGCAAAACTTTGCCATAGAATCTTCTCTGCATGGTTTCCTTGGTCTTCATCACTTACAACAAGGTTTCCACTGTCCATTAACTTCACTTTCCTGTGCTGTGAAGATGATCCTTCAAGGTTAGTGGTCCAGTGGGACTTTCCACCTTTGTCCAAAACCTTGAGATTCCCATCTTCTGCAATGCCAAAAGCACCCGAAGAATCTGGAAGTGGGTTGTCTCGGTTAGCAACCCAAACAAGTGTTTGTGGGGTCAAGTTGTAGTACCATATTCCCACGTATCTTCTGCCACTAGAGCTTCCATTAGGAGTGAAAAATCCCAGTTCAAACTTTTCTCCTTCTGAAATAAGCGTATCCCCTCCTCCATCTTGCAAGAAGTTGTTAATGATTATAGTATCTCTAGCTGAACAATGCTTAAAACTAAAAGTGAAAAATAATGAGCATAAGAGGAAGATACACAACATGTGACTAGAAGCACAGTTAAGGATAGTTATCCTTCTGCTCTCTTCCTTGGTGTTTACCATTTGAAAGAAAAATAATTTGGTTGGAACTTTTGTTTAAGTACTAAGCACAGTCCCAGTGACCAAATTTTCCCAGGCTTTCTCCCTCTTGTTGTATTCAAAAGCCACCTTAAGTAAAGTTCGTTAGCACTTTCTGCTTTTGGTGTTTATTGGTGGAGTAATTGGCGCATATTTAGGTTGTAGGATTTAATTATACTTCATTCATTGTGACACTAAAACCCTTCTCTCAAATATGTGAAAATGATTATTATCAATCTCATGATATAAATATATACATATTATCCAGAGGTAGTTCAACAAACTGTCCTTGTTAGCACCAAATGTAACAATGATTTTAAAGCATTGCTTTTTACCAATATGCTTTGGATTTTTGCTGCTATGATCATTTATTGGTTTTATGTTGTCTTGTGTTTGAATACATGATTAGGTTTAAGACAAAAATCTTTAGAAATATTAGGAGCAAGCCCAAACACGGAAGCATCATGAAAAATATGTGTGCCTGCTGTAAATGATAATGCAGCACTACAATAATGATTTGCAATATGATTGATATATTATTGCCAAGGTTGAATATTTTATTAAAGAAAGCGAGAAGGGATAGTGAGGTCAATTTCATTCAATTTTGTCAATTTTATCTTTTTTCATCTGGGTCCCCTTTGCTTACTTTTTTCTACATCCTCTGACAAGTGACATTTAATTTAAAATATATTCAGAGCATATGTCTCGTTTTGCGTAACTATGGATCAAGAAATTAAGTTCATGTTGAATAATGTAAACGTGGCTCACTTTCTAGGGAATTGCATGTTGTGACAAGCAACATAGAGCAGAGAAATATCATTCTTGTTAGTAAATATTAGAAGTATACAATTTCTTTAAAATTTGCTATATATTTGTAATTAATTATATTATCATAATTTTTTAATATATATTTTTTTCTTTAAACAATAAAAAATTATTATGACTAAAACATATTTAATCATATTTGAATCTTTGTTTTTTAAAATTATTATATTTACATATCTTATCATGTACGTATAGCATAAACTATTATCAACCATGTTTTCTAACATTTTATTTTTGGTGGGGTTGGAGTAAATTATGATTGAGCTGCCAATGGAAAACCATTGCAGTGTAGTGTCTTGAGTTTCTTCTAAAATCTAAACCAAGATGAATCCAAATCCTCCCTTGCCATTTTTTTCTTCAGTGGCATAAGATTCTATGTGATGTTTTGGAAGGTATCCACACAAAGACAAAGGCTATTCTCTGTCCAGTGTCCACCATCTCTACTCACTTGTCTATGTTGACCCACAAAAGTTGACTTACATTCTTCGTTATCTCTGGACACTCAAAGCTGCTGGGGTCCCCTAAACAGGGTGAGATTTGCATCAACACATTCCAAGAATTGTGACGTTAATAATATATTTGTTAACTCATTTTTAATTATTTATTAAAATTTGTTTAAAATTATATAAAATTTTACTTTTAATTTAAGGAATTTTATTCAAATTTTTATAATTTTTAGAAAATTTTAACTAATAATTTAAATTATGTTAAAAATAGTATGTTATAAAATATGGTCCCAATACACTAATAAACGTAAACATGACATCACATTTTCCACCAAAACTTTTAAATCATTAAATGTATGAGTCTGCTCTTATTTTTATGGATCCTGTTTTTAATTAATGCAAACTCGCACTTGAATTTCCAGTAAAATCGTCCACCAGTGGATCAGAAAAGTACTTCATACATATTCCCTCTAATCGTTTTTATAAGAAATTATATTTTTTTTATAATTATTAATATAAGATTTGTTTTCAAAATTTTAAAAGCATTTATTACTTCTTCACATATCTGTTCTTTATAAATTTAATCATCTTTAACTTTTGAACTATGAATATAATAATAAAATTTAATTTTAAATAAAAATAAATTTAAAACTCTGCAATTATTTTTAAAGAAAAACTAATATATTAATTAGTTTTAACAACTTGACTTAATTTTTTTAGTTCTTAATGTAAGATCGTTTACTACAATTTAACAATTTGGTTCTTCTTCACATACTATTTGTTCTTTATAAATTTAATCTTTTTGAACTTCTTAACGATTCATTTATAATAGAGTTTGATTTTAAATAAAAATAAGATAAAATACTGTAATGATTTTTTAAAAATTAATATATCAATTACTTTTAATTAACAACTTGTCGTAATTTATATGATGTAATTAAAAAAGTCTTATAAATGGGATTACAAAGCAAGAAAAAAAATAATATATTGGATTTGGATGGTATTATTGTGTGATCTAGTCATCTTTTTGTCCAGTTTCAATGTGATATGCTCTACCAGCACTTAAGCAGGTTCCAAAATCCAAATAATTGATGGATGCTGAGAATTTTTAGAATTTTTAATTATGGTGCAATTCTCACGAGATGAATCCTATTAAACTTAGCCAACCAGCTCAGCTCAAGTCTCGAGCAAAGACTCTATAGTGGGTTACTTTTGACAAGTGATACATTACACACTATTTTAACCTCAATTTGTGTCGTAAACCCACAATCCTCTTTCGTCGCCTCACAAATTAAATCATCTATTGGAAACACAAAATAATAGTAAGTTACTAGAACACAAAGCACAATATCTTATTTTATTTTGGGTGATGTAATATCACATAAAATGAAAACAGAAAGACAGAATATAAGTAGATGGTAGTACCATCATCCATAATCGAATTTGATTACACACAAAATTTCAAACGAGAGACTTGAGGCTTAAGAAACACAAACTAAAGATAAAAAGAGGAAACTCGTGTAAAACACGAGCATTCTAAATCACAAAGAATCGATAAAATGCATCAACTAAAGCTTATATAGGATAAAATCCAGGCAAAATAAAAAAAGAAAGGGTCATTACTTTCCAGAACTTATAATTCTTCAAAATAATAACCCTTTGTTGATTTGATTAGTGATTACAGAGGACTGTATGTGATCCCTCTCTTCCCTCTTTGTTTTCCAAGGGGGATTTTTTCTTTTCAACCTTTTAATTTCAGGACTCTATTGGCTTGTTTATGGCAGTACTAAAAGTCTAGAGTGACTGGATGATTTGTTCCAGACAACATGGCTATATATATAATAGATAGATAACTTTACTCAACCGAAAATTCTTCCAATTTTGTACCTTATGACGCTAGTACGGAAAAAGATAAAGACTGAAGTGTTGTCTACTAGAGCTAAATAAGAACATTGTAAAATGAATTGAAACAAACCAACGATATTATTATAAAGCATTGTAAGATGCAGGGATATCTCACTGGACCCTTTATGCCAGAAACAATTATCTGGATTTTTTTTTTCTTTTTGTGGTCAATCATCTAAATAAAAATTGATGAAGATATAATGGTCCCTTCCTAGTTTGCTTTTACCTAGTATTACCCTTCTGCTTGCCACCAGTTCCCTTTTTAGGGAACAATTGAAACTGAGCATCATCCAATCCTTTTCACATTAGTAAATCAAACATTCAAAATATAGACTATGATCTGTTCATATCAGTAGTATAAATTACTGCTTGTATAAAAAAAAAAAACATCCCTAGGAAGAAAGAAATTTCCTTCCAATGTTATTCTTATGCTAGATACACTGCCAATTAACATTGCCATACCATAATTGTGTTCAAATATACATGAATATGAAGTTGAGGTTATGAAGTACAATAAACTGGCTAAACATCACAAACAATTCTGATCCTGGAGTACCCAGTTTGAGCCTCTATCATGCTCTATCGACCTTCTAGGATGCTACTCTCAACTGCAAACTTGAAGAAGTTGTGCTAGATAGGTCTCTACGCTTGAAGAAGGTTGGTTGTTTAGGATTTGAGAGAGATGCAGTTTCACTATCAAGCATTATCACAACATTTGACATGGTTGGCCTATTATCTGGTTCATCTTGTACACATAAGAGTCCAATATGTGCACACCTAATAAGTTGGTTTGCATTGCAAGTTTCATGCAGGGACAAGTCCATTAAATCCAATAACCTATTCTCTTTCCATAATCTCCAAGCCTGGTAAAAAATAAATCACTTGATTAAAAGAAATAGAGAAAAATAGTAGTAGATAAGTGCAATGGATATAACATACATGATCCAAAAGGCTTGAACTTTCATTAGACTTAAAGAATCCTGTGTTCCTTTTTCCACTGATAATCTCAAGCAGGACTACACCAAAGCTGAAAACATCCAATTTGGTTGAGAAAAGTCCATATAATGCATATTCAGGAGGCATGTATCCACTGCACACAAGAAAAAACACCACTCATGTGTAACATGCATGTCTGAATATCCCAATAAACTGAGTTGTGGGGTTAAACGATAATAATGTTAACATATCAAATAAAAATCCACCACAAATACATATTGAACTTACAAAGTTCCCACTACCCTCTGTGTGCTTGCCTCAGTGTCTTTGCCTCCAAATATTCTAGCCAATCCAAAGTCAGAAATTTTTGGTTGCATCTCCACATCTAGAAGAATGTTGCTGGTTTTCAAATCTCTGTGAATTACTCTCAGTCTTGAGTCTTGGTGAAGATAAAGCAACCCACGAGCAACTCCAAGAATTATGTCAAAACGCATTGGCCAATCCAAAAGTACACTCTTTGTTGAATCTTTCCATTTCCCATTTGAAAGAATAAAATTAGTAACTAAAAGATTTGTTTTCTTATATGAGTAATTATGAGATTTCAAACACCAAAAATGGTGATGATAAATAAATTTAGTGACCAACCGAATATAAATGAGTCTAAGCTCCTGTTAGGCATATATTCATAAAGTAAAATTTTTTCATCTTCCTTTATGCAATAGCCCCTTAGTCTAACAAGGTTCCGATGTTGAAGTTTGGCAATTAAAACAACCTCATTCTTGAATTCTTGTAAACCTTGTGATGAAACAACTGAAAGTCTCTTTACTGCAATATCTTCCCCACATTGAAGCTTACCCTGAAGCAAAAGAAATTTACTTATACCATTACCCGAAATTTAGTTTGGCAAGAGAGATAAAAAGAAACAAAGTCAATACCACCTTGTAAACTTGCCCATAGCCCCCTTTCCCTATTTTATTTGCATTTGAAAAATGATTTGTAGCTTCTAGTATGCTCTCAAAATCAAAATAAGGGACCTCTACGCCTTCATTGTCTTTTTCTTCCAATGCCTCCCTGCCTATCAAATCTTTCACATGTCTTTCACTATCATAAAAGCGCCCTCTATTTCTCCTTATGTGTTCCCTGTCTGAACACGTTAAGGAAATATATAACATAACCATATATGTAATAAAATATTGAAGTGATGCGGATTCAAGATTGCAAAGCAAATGAACAAGGAGTAGAAAAGAATTTCCACCTTTCATAAGCCCAAGAGCTATTTTCCTTCTGCATGCATAAGCAAAAACAATTATGCATGCTAGAGTAACCACTCCTGTTAGAGTTGTACCAAGAATCAAAGACAGTAAGCTTTTGGGACTTCCTTTTCTCGATGGCTCTTCTGAAGTAGAATTAGGAGGGGATATAGCTTCTGCAAAAGCAGCAGAGAAGAAGAAACACTTCATCAAAAATCAAATTCTCTTTATCACAAGATACCTTATAATAATTTTCTCTAAAATTCGGTCTTATGATTTGTTGTAAGAGTAAAATAAAATTGATAAATCAGACATCTCTCTCGTAAGTTAAAATTATCACGTGGGAATCAATTTCTTACAACAAAAAATCACCTAACTTTTCTTAGACTTAATATGTATAAATTAATTTTAATTTATAAAAAATATTTTTTTTCTTATTTTCTTATATTATTGATAAGTTCATTTAATTAGTGTAAGTTACTTACTTTGAGTACAACTTAAAAGATTGCCATGCCAGTAATAGTTTGCATCACAAAGACACTTTTCTCCTTTGCAAGTTGAATGGTTCCAACCGTGACAATCAAGGGAGTGAACACAGCTGGGTTCGGACGGTGGTTCCCAATTAATCTCTACACGGTCAGAGCATTCATCTTCGTTGATATTATTAAAAGGTGAAGAAATCAACAGATTTTCATTGCCTCGAAGTAGTAGATTGCAGCGACGACTAAAATTGGTTCGAATGGAGAATTTTCTTGACACTGGTTCTATGCTAATGACCCTGTAACTGTCATTGACGACGAGGAAGCTAAGTTGACCCGTTGAATTGTTGCAGATGAATTTGAAATACGTGGGGTCTCCACATTTGAGTCCAGTGCTCAGTGGATAAGGGACTAAGGTGGTGCCACAAGGTTCACAAGTGTTTGGAGTTGGTGCTGCAAATAACATCAATCCAGAACACAAGTTTTCAGAACTGTACAGCATTAGTTTATTAAAATAAATTTTTTAATAATATCTTATCTCGTTGATTTAACTATAAAATTTATTAAATCTATAAACTCTTCCTGATATATCTTTAAAACTTGGTCGAGTTATCAAAAACCAATATATTATTTCACGGAAATATTGGTTTTTTTTTTTTTTTCGTTTTTTCAATTAAGCTATCTCACAAAACTGAGAAAAATAAGCTATTACCTATGTCTGATTTTGCTACACGGACAGAGATGTTACGACCATCACCCCTAAGGTACTCTTCTTTGAGGGTAGTCAAATTCTGTGTCCAGATCCAACATGCGAAGATATTAGAATCACGCCGTGGGAGATATGTGTATGAATAAGCCTGGCACTTAGGACACATATTAAGGCACATAGATTTGCATTCTGACTCACTTTCTGCCGTCACTTGTTGATCTGGGCTTCGCATTTTCACCATCACGAAGTTTAAGAATGTGGTATCTTTGCCGCATGATGCTGATTTTCTATTACATCTCCAATCTTGAAGAGTAGAATCACGCTGTCCCTCGTAATCTTTTCGAGGAAACATAAACCTAGGATAATCGAATCCGGGTAAACATTTGCATAATCTGTCACTGTTGTCGTTACAGCTGGCAAAGTTGCCACAATAGTTATATATCATGCATGTAGTGTTTGGCTGAAACCACGAAACGAAATCCTTTTGGTTATTAAGTAATAAAAATTGTACAAAACCAGTAGAATTTATGAACAGCCTCTTGTTGTCATAGTTGAGAGATCGATTCGGGGCTGTCAAAAAGTTGTAAACTTCATTGTTCATGTCATCACCCCCTTTTGCTTCTTGGACTTCATCACTCTCCCAGTAAAGTTGGTTATGGTTTGAGATGACATAACGGTTGTCCCTTGTTTGAGCCATCTTAAAAGTGAAGTTCCCTTGTGCTGGGTCTTGAGGGCTTCTCCAACTAGTCAACTTCAAATTCTTATCCATTTTCATGCCATATAGGAATGTGTCAGTTGGGTGTTCAAAGCTCTCCCAGAGTTTCATTCCCTTTTGTTCATCTAGTACTAACTCAAGGTTCCCAGAATCATTGAGCCTCACTCTTTTGTTTGTGGATGAAGAGGAAGAATCATTGAGTTCGGATGACCAATAGCTTTTTCCAGAAGTGTCTGATACGACTAGATTCCCATCATCAGCTATTTGAAAAACTCCGGTAGAATCAACAGCAACTGGGTAGTCTCTATTTGCAACCCACACCACTATTTGTGTTTGAGGTTCTGAACCTTCTTGCATGTGATACCATATCCCTAAGTATCTTCCTGTGCCCCCAATAGTAGAAGCGCTTCCACTTGGAGAAAAGAAGCCTAGTTCAAATTTTTTACCAGCTGAAACAAGGGTAGTTTCATTGCCTTTAATCTTTTCACCTTGGTTCAAAGTATCGCCTGCTAAACACTGCTGAGAAAAGCATAGAAACCAAGCATATAGGTGAAAAAGAGCAATAGCTCTCATGTTATTAATTAGAACAACATGAATATGTCCATTCATTTGTAGTATTGTTTTGCAACGATTGTAAAGAAAACAATAACTACAAAGAGGAGAAGCAAAAGAATAGACAAGATTTTGTTAAATGCGCCTTGTACCAGAGACATAAAGGTCTTGCATGCGTAGAAATTACTTGTGGAACTATAATTCTCGTTAATTAGATGACACTAATTCTTGTTCACGATTCATGCTATCTATGGCACTGCCTCTCCTTCAACAAAACAATGAATTATTCCTACTCTGTAGTTTGCTCACAAAATGTGTAGAGACATCAAGACAAATTACGACGACCCTTCTTATGATTCTATGAGAACAGACAAATTTTTAATGATGCAGACACATGCACTTCAAAATTTCCAGGAATATTTACAGTATTGGAAATTTTTTTAACTAAGAAAATATTGTATTTTTTCATCCACAATAATATGGATGTATAAACATGTATGGTATTCGATAAAAAAATAATTAATAATTTTCTATTAAAATAATATTTTTATTAAACAATTGTTAGATATAATTGTTATTGTGCAACAAACTTGACGAAAAACGTATATATCAGAGATCAACATCCGTGATCAATAGGCAATAACCCATGAATCATCCGATCTTCTGCTATTAATTGTATATTTAGATTTACATTTAAACTGTTATAAATTTTTGTGCACTTCAATGTTATTAATTACAGTTTACGCATAAAATTTTATATTTATAATTTTTTTTAACATATTCCTAAACGTTATCAGTGTATTATTTCACGTTTTCATGCGGTAAGATGGTGAATACTCGTCTTTCCTTCATCATAACTCATTCTTCATGTTTATTTGAAGATGGTTTGTGCAGATTTTTTTTTTTCTTCTTTTTGTTGTAGTTTTTAATTTGGGTCTTGTATTTAGGCACTTCCTTTTATTGATTAGACTGAATTGGTCCTATACTAATATGAATGCTGTAGTATTAATCACATGCAATAAAATGTCATGCTTTTAAATTAGAGTATGAGATACATGAATGTTCAGTAATGTATATAAATTAGGAGATAAAAATTTTAAAAATCAGAAATTTTAAAATAAATTTTTTTCTTCGTTTAAAATTCACGTTTACTTGGTTTTCAATACTTAAATTATATGATTTTGTGTTAATTAAAAATATGGTTCCTCTTCGTACTTTTTTTTTAGATATTTTTTTCTTTTTTTTTTTTTCTTAAAGTGGTTTTAAAAATTTTCTTTTGCGATAATTAAGTATTGATAAATAGTAACTAGTTATCTTTAGGATACTGGTTGTTAAATCAAAAATAAAAAAAAATTATGATAAATTATAATAACATACTTAAAAAAATTTTCATAACTCTTGATACATCTCTGATGTATTTTTGATAAAAAAAATTATTAATTGATCAACCAATATTTTTTTAAGAGTACTAACGAATACCTTCAAATACATTAATTAGTAAAATCTTTGAATCCTTTACTATGATGATTTTAAACATTTAAGAAACTATTTCACCAATAAAAACTTCGAAAGATTAATGTAAGAATATATTTACCTTTAAAATATTAATTTAAACATTTTATCCGTCACACATTAATTTTTTGTTGATGGCAAGTGTGTACATGTGTGTTAGATTTGTTAACGTGAATAAATTTAAATTAAAAAAAAAAGTTAATAACATATAGCAAAACTTTTAAATAAAAACAAAATTATAACAAATTTGTTGATAATAAAAATTTTAATGAATAACTTTTATTCTCATTAGCATTAACTGGCCCAGTTACCATTAGAGTGCCCGCGTCGTGGTATCTTAAGTAGATTTTGTGGAGTTGATCATGACAATTGACCAATCTAGCAGATTCTTTGTCCTTTGCAGCTCTTATCTCCCAAACCCTTGAAAGAAAGATCCCTTAATGTACAAGCAGCAAGCACGTTGGCTTCATCAAATCCTTCTTAAAAAATAATATAGTTTTTATTTACAATCCAAATTATCAAACATTTACATAGTAACATCAATAACCTCCTTTCTCTATTAAGCAGATTAATTAAAATATGATAATCCAAGTATTCCCTAACTAGCAATGTCGTTCATTTTGAATAATACCATAGGAGACAATTTTATTTCACCCTTGTCGATTTATCAAAGACTCAAAGTCTTCTTATTTGTTTTTCTTCAGGGAAAAAAAAAAGTCTTCTTATTCGTTAACAAATTTGTTATTTTAACATCTAAAAATTGATACTGTATATGATATTATATATTTATCTTTATTTTTCTCTTATTTTTTATATACACATATTTTAAAAGCATTTTATAGAATCTAAATATATATATCTCAAAATATAATACTCATTCAGTCACAACTCGAGTTTTCTTCTTTGACTGGTTCAGGTCTGGCTGCTCGTCCGACAGAGACAAATCAAAATCTTTTTTCTCATTTTGTTCGTAGCATATCATACAATTTATTTCCTTTTGTTGTGTAAATATAATTTCTATTATTACCAGTACCATCAGAAGTTCAATGGTTCTCATTCATTTCAACTACAGCCTAGCCATAAGAATGAGATAATGATGGTAGGACGAGTATGTTTCACCATTATTCAGCAGCACTGTGTTCTGGTTAGGAAATCCATCCTAGGATTCACCCTACTTGATCTAAACCCTTTGGGTATGTGGCATGAAGGGGGAAAAAAGCTTTTTGTATATTCTCAGAATTGTCTTGCTATCTAGTTTACTTGAGTACATAAAAGTTTACTTCTGATTATTTTATAAATTATATTTTAAAACATTTTACAAGGTTGATAGTAATTTTTATTAAGAAAAAAGGTTTTTTAAATTTATTTTAATAATTTTTATAGATAATCTTATGATATAAGCTTTCATAAGTTTACGGAATAAACAATCAGCGTGTATTTTAATAAATAACTTAAATTAATTACTTATTTTATATATATTGTTATGATTTATTTAAAATATAGTTAAATGTTATTTATTTTAATAAATTTCACTAAAAAAATATTAAATTAAATTTAAAAATTGTAAACTTCTTTTATAATTTAGTGAAAAATCTTTTAAATGTTCCCATTACTCATAAACGCCAATTGAACATAAATTATGGAAAGTGTTTATCCAAAGCATAATTCCACGTAAAGTATTCTCGTTTTCCCAAGCGATAAGAACCACTCTCATTGTTGTCCAATGTTGTTGACTTGGGCTAATCCAGTTACGAACTTGCAGCCCAATAAAAAACCTTTAATCTTTGCAACATGACACAAAGGTACACTCAAGTCTCATCCCATCTTTTTAACTGATGATTTGTAGCGTGTTAGAAATAGTTAGATTATAGTTCAGAGTTATTTAATAGGTAATTAGAGTAATCACTTTCATTCCTATATGTAAAGCAGTGTATTGTATTTATTATCTTTATTTTAATTAATAATGTTTTTTATTTTTCTTTCAATGTCTTCTCTTTTTCGGATTTTATTATATTTCTCAACATAAGAAGGATGAAAATTTCTATTGCATTAGGCTCTCGTGAACTCATATTTTTCTTATAATTATACGTCATACGAAAGCACGTAGTGTGAGGGTAAAGAAAAACACGTAAATAATAAATTAAACATTAAATTAAAATGGTCCTAAAAGAAGGATCCACATATAGAACATATTCATATACAGTTTGAGTTATGTGGGTTCCACTTGGCAGCGATTGTGTCAAGGACTGTCGTGATCAGCGCGTGAGATGGTGGTAACAAGGAAGATCAAAATCACGCGAATCCAACATGGCGGAGTGTGCACCCAGTGATTAGTGAATGAGATTCGGCCACGTAAGCAAATCGGAATCTCCATGGTGCTCAAGTGCCACGTTCACCATTCCCCTGTGCCTTGTTCCTATAAAATTAATAACTTGATTTATTAAAATGCATTTAGAAACCACAGAAAAAAGGGTTTGTGTCCCCTACCGAGCAGACACCTGGCATTGCCTGACACCACAAAACCACACATCCTCCGTTGCTTTGCTGGTCCTTTCATCGTTACTCTACATTCCACACTGCCCTAGATTTTACTTTCACCAAATACTGTTTTAAACTTTAAACAGATAAAATGAAATCTATAAATAAATTAATTGATTTTATATTGATTTTAAAATAGTTTAGCTTCAAAATTCTATTTTTTGTTCATTGTGTTTTGATATTAAAGTATGTATTGTTTTTATGCAATGTTTATTTATAAAATAACTATTTGATTTTTAATAAAGTTAAAACAAGACAAAATAAAATATAACTTTTCATTCTTCTACTCCATTTAATTTAAGAAAAAAAATTTCTTATGTGACATTCAGAAAAAAACATATTAATTACATAATAATAATTTATAGTTTTTTGTTTATTTATTTTATATACATATAAACAAATATAATTAACGTCTTGTTTGTCGTCTCTTATACTTAAGAATTATGAAAAATTAGATATTACTACATCTTTTAATAAAAAAATTGTATTTTATTTTATATCATTTGATTGAAATAAAATTATTTTTAATTTTTTAATACATTTTTACATAAACTTTAAAATATCTCGTAATCTGTTATCTTAAAATGTAAAATAAAAATAGAAACAAAAAGTTGCTTTTCTATTTATATAATATGACCAATCAAGGTCATGTAACAGGAAGTTTAAGACAGTAATCTTAAGACTCACCCTCGCAATATAATATTTTGAATAAACAAGTATATTTGAATACTATTATTTTAACATCATTCGTTTAAAATTTAAATTAATTTATTTCATTTTAACTAACATAATATTGAATATATTGTATTAATTCTAAATATAAATAATTTTTTAAAAGTTTATATATATCACTACTAACATGTAAGGGGCCTTTCTATAAGGGGGTTTAGCATAATAGATAGTTGTTGAAAATAAGGAAAGAATAATATTATTATTTAGTAATTTTTTTAACGTGTGTTTAAATATATATAATAAACAATAATTTTGATAAAAAAATATTTAATTGAAAACTGAATGAGACGTAACGAGAGAGAAATAGACCAAAATAACTTAATTTCCCTCTAAACACAAAAGTATTTATTGAAAACTAAAAGGCATGGTCTTATAACAGAAAGAAGAGGCAGTTGCTAGTCTTCTAGATGTAAGCTATTATATTGTAAGGCAGTTACTACATGGTACTTCACTATACGAATTGTAAGGTGGTTATTAAAGTTGGAGCGTTGGTTAAGAATTTATCACGCTTCCAACAACTAATTCCTAAGCTCAAAGGAATATATTAAATTTTAGTTGCGTCTAACATGAGTCATCCTTTATATGGTCTATGAGTGTATAATAATATCTTAAACGTTACATAAATTTTCAAATTAATACGCGGTTGAGATCATTTACGGTTTTCTGATAAAACTTATATAAACGATCATAAAATTTTATATAATAATAATACTTTTTAATAAAAATTGTTATTAATTAATATTTTATTATATATTAATGAACACATAATTTTATAAAATGTACGATATTCTTCCTTCTCAGGGGAAAAAAAAACACTAGGGTACAGAGCAGAGGGGCAGTTTCGGGCTGCGACGGGAAACCAGGAATTTATTTTATACTAAATTTCGCCGACAATTAAACGCTGTTTCTTCTTTTTCTTTTCACTTTCCTCAGTATTCTCCCATTCCCAGTAGAGAGAGAGAGAGAGAGAGAGAGAGAATAAAAAGAAAAAAAGAAAAGAAATTTCCAAAGCACAAAGAAAATAAAAAGAAAAAAAGCACAAGCTTCGAAACGATCGATTAAGGCGAGGTAAAGATGAAGAAGTGCGAGCTGTGCAAGATTCCGGCGAGGGTTTTCTGTGAGTCGGACCAAGCTAGCTTATGCTGGGACTGCGACGCTAAGGTTCATGGCGCCAACTTCTTGGTCGCTAGGCACTCCAGGACCCTTCTCTGCCACTCTTGCCGTTCTCCCACGCCGTGGAAGGCCTCCGGCGCCAGCCTCGGAAGCGCCGTCACCGTCTGTGACCGTTGTGCCGCAGGCACCAGCGAAGAAGAAGAACCGGAAGAGAGCGAAGGAGGTAATGAGGAGGAAATAGACGACGACGACGAAGATGTCGCCGGCGACGAGGGCGGAGACAATCAAGTCGTGCCTTGGTCCTCGACGCCGCCTCCGCCGCCAGCGAGTTCCTCTAGCAGCGAATGGTCGTCGGTTAGCACGTGCAGAAGAAACGGCGTCAACAGCAGAAACGGCGATGGAGATGGAGATATTTCTGTTTCTGAACCCGTAACGACAACAGTGTCGTTGAAACGACAGCGTCCGGATGAAGCTTCTGATCGTGATCTTCAGGTTTGTTTTATTTTATTTTAACGACGAATAATTATTTTTGGTTTTTGAAACAATGACGTTATTGATTTTTTTAAAATTTTTTTATTTGGATTGTTGCGTGAACATAGGAGGGTCATAACGGTTGGGCTTCTCAGCGGAGGTGCGGTGGGGAGTGGAGAGAGGAGGTGGCGTGTGGCGGAGAACCACCGTCGAAGGAGTGATAGAGACATCGTGGTACAGGATACGTGATACGGCGACGTTTAATGATGAGAAGACCCGAGGTTTCTGAGCCACATGATCGACGACGTCGTAGCATGAGATATTTTAGCTCTTTGATCATTAACTTCTAATCAAACCGCTCACTAGACTGCTGGTTTTTGACTATTGGTTGATTGTTGTGTATTAACGTGGTGTTTTCCTTGATCCGTATTTAATGTAAACACTAAAATCATTATGATGCTGATGTATACTTTCTTAGCTTTTTTTTTTTAATATTACTTTTGCACCAATTGCTTTTTGCTTTTATATACTGGGGTCTTTTTAATTAATGTTTTTACTTTTTAGTACACGAATTAAGAAATTAAGATAAATTTCTTATTTTAAAATTTTTAATCACTACACTGGGTTTGATAATTTTTTCTTTGTGACGTGAAGGAAAATATTAGAAAGGCTGTATCCAGCAAATTAATGTATTAATTTGAATTCGAAGGTTCAAACGGGAAAGAGTGGTGTGATTAATGTCATTAGCGGTGGTTTAGACAGCAGGTTAACTTGTGGCTGTGCGATGGAGCGATCTGCGTGTCATGTCCTTCAACCTCACAACCAAATGAGCTGTGAAAATAAATTGAAGAATAATGCAAGATGTACGGCATCAAAGAACCACATCACTTTATATTTATGTTTTGTTGTACGAATGGGTAAATTTAAAAGGGAATTTTTTTAATTTCTTCGTAATACTTTTATATAATTTATTTTCCTTCGTTTTATATCAAATATTTCTCTCTCTTTTTTCTCTATGTTAAAAGCGTGTTGTGAAATCTTTGAGAGTATGATTATTCAGACTGAGATAAAAATAAGTATAAAGTAAAAAGACTAATTGTGATTAAATGATAAAACCTAAATATAAAAAGGACCAAAATGTAAGGAAGTACAACACTTCATATTTACGTGCATGGAATGATAAAATTAAAATCAAAATATATAAAAATGAAAAAAAACTAATAACAATTTAATAATAAAAACATATAATATAACATGCTCAGTTGTGAATGGAATCATTCCTTTGTATAGTTTCGTGTTGCCATCATATAAGGGTTTAATATATTCTTTGCAGTATTTTAATTCATGCATTGACCCTTTGTTTTATAAGTAAAATAAATTTTATATACTGTGGTACATGTCAAAATTAATTTGTATAAACATTTTAATCATACTTAGCTGTTTAGATATTTTATAAAGATTTAATAATTTATAAATGATTATATTACTTTATCTTGATAATAATTGTTTTAGAAACATTAATTAAGCAAGGAATAAATAAATAAAACTCAGACAAAATTCGTTAAACATTATACAAAAAATGCATTGGTAATATTTTTTCATAGAACTTGGATAATTTTTTTTTGCTAATTCAGTATATCAAATGAACTAGTTAATTTTTTCCTATTATGCACGGCTTAGCAATTTATTAGTTGTTTATCTAAATTTAATTCATTTATGGATGAGTATATTTAAGCTTAAACTGTTTGTAACTTCTTTTGTTCTCTAACTTAATTTAAAACTTACAAATTTTGCAACCAATATAATAGTTAATAAGTTAAATTATGAACTATCATGTGTAATGTTACATAAAATATTAAACACGGTGTTTCTAGACTAGCTTTTAAAATGAAAACGACCAAAATTATTCTATCAGAGAATCTTAACAATCATCACATGCTGTGTACATTACTAGACGACCAAAATAACACTACAATAATGAACACAATTTAATTAACACAAAATAGATAAGGATAAATAGGATAAAAAAAGGGCAAATTTATTCTTAATTTAACAATTCATATTTTTCTATATGCAAAATGATTCGATCAAGACAAATACTAAACACTGTTGTTAAGGTATTACTTATGAAATTTAAATTAAAAAATAATTTTTTATAAATGTTTAACATAGTTTTCTACAAGCATTTTTATTTATGATTTTTTTTAAATTATAACTCGAAGCATTAGTTAACAAGAAACTTTATGTTTGATTGAAGGGTTTATACATACTCCACAACTCATTATTTAATTTTATAAAAGAAAAATAGAGATTTCTTATGGCCAAGATATTGTACACCTTTTTTAGTATATGTTTAAAAAAAAGCATGCATGATTAAGTAACCTGGTCTAATATTCAAGTGCAGATGTGAAATAATAAAAGAAAAAAGAAAGAGTAAAAGGGTGGTTGTGTGGAGTGGGGTGAGATTTTGTGGCGGAGAATTGTTGGAGTTGAAGGGTTTGTGGCTGTGAATTGATTGATTGATTCGATGCTTTCTTTCTTCTTTTGAGCAGTGTCTGATTCAAGAGGTGGATCATTGGATCCTCATATTTTCTTTCTCTCTCTCTGTGGTTTCGCTCTATCCTCTCTGTCCTCTGAAACATTTCAGAATGGCATTCACCAATCATTTCCTTGGTAGTGCCATCGATGATGATGGACCCTCTAACTTTTCTCTTCGCATATTCACAGATATTTTCGGATGCCGCTGGGGAATGGGATCATTATTTATTCCACATTTCCCAAATTATTTTGTTTTAAAATTAATATAAACTATTTTGATACTAATTTTTATAATATTTTCTTTTTTTTTAATTAGCAATTGATGTACTGTATATGAATTTGACATATGACAAAACATGTACAGTATTATAAATATTTTAAATAAAGATTAAAGTTTTACTTTAATGATGTATATAATTTTTTATAAATTACTAAAACAAAATTTTAATTTTAATTAAATATAGCATAAAAATATTTATAATATTATACTTAAACTAAGGTCTCATAAAAGAATACAGACAAAATAAAATATTACCTTAAAACGAAGATTGAGAATAAAATATAGATCAATTAAGTAGTTTATTTGAGCAACATTAATGCCGGTTTAATTTACGGTTTGAAAAATATATTTTTTAATTCGTAATAAAATGCTTATTATTATTACTGTTATTATTATTATTTAATAACAACATTACCTGTGATGTGATATATTTAAATATGCAAAATATAATTAATAGGTGATGGTGAGATTAGTTTAATTTTTTTAAAAATTTTATAAAAAATTATAATTAACAATATAATGATTAAACTCAAATTATCACAAAAGTATCGTTACATGTTGTTTGTATATATTCCTCGTATTGTTTCATAAATAATAATAGTGTGGAGGAATCTCAATTTAAGATTGTGCAACATGTCTTATTAATTAAGGGATTAATATATTGAGCCAACAATGAGATTTATTGGTTGATTAATAAAAAATAAACAGTTTAAAGACTTAATCAAGGTAAAAAAATATTAATTTTCATGTGTTCTTTATTAAGATATTTAAAATTATTTTTATTATAAAACAATTTTTTAAATTAAAAGATTATCATACAAAATACATAATAATAAATTAAACCTTACAATTATTTAATTTTAATGATTTGTTTAAAAATAAGAATTTTAGAGGAGAGTAATGTTTTTATTTTAAATAAATATATTTTAATTTAATAAAATTTCAAAATTAAAAATATAAATTAATAGATTAGCATAGATATAATGTATTAGTCGTTTACTCACTATAATAAATTTTATATACTCTTATTAATTGAAAAATAAAAAATATTCCCTTTTCTTTCTCTTCTAAAAATATCTTTCTAAATAACTCTTCAAAATATTTTAACTAGATAATATTATAAGTATGTTACTCTAAAATTTTAAATTATATATAGAAAACATATAAATAGTTTTGTAGTTAGATGTTTCTAGTAATATATAGGGGTTGGATTTGAAAACTTTAAGTTGTTAAATTTACAATTAATAAGTGTTTTGAATGGATGTAATTTCCGTAAGCTCACATTTTTTGATACTTAAGTTATGAGACAAAAGTAGGAGAAAAAAAAATATTTTTGAACCCCACCAAATATTTACACACGTAAACACATTTATATGCATTTATCCTTCTTCTATTTGTTAACAAATTTAGATAAATAACTATTGTTTTTCATTGCATGATACCCACTAATATCATGGTGTTGATAACATTTTAACTTATATCTTGTTTTCCTTTTTTATTGTATTTCCTTTTGCTTTTTCCCTTCTATCCATGACAGTAAACATATCCTTTTTATTTTATCTTTGTGATATCTTCTTGTGTGCATGTGATAAATCCTTACTTCCTTGTCATGTTATTGGCCTCATAGGATTGGTGCTCTATGCTAAAATGTAAGAAATTATGCATTTTTGGGACATTTTGGACCCATCAGAGCTATAATTTTAGCTCGTGATTTTTTTAACGTGGTTGTGCCTAAATCCCACAGGACTTCTATTGAGAGAAATGAAAAAAGAAAAAAAAATCTTGTGCTTCGTCTTTTGTATATTAGATTGACTTTGTGGCTTATTTTGGGCCAATTTTTGGCATATTCTTAACTTAGAGCACTTAGAATATGTGACTAAGTTCCATTCAAATTTGTCTTGAATCATCTTCTGCTCGCTCTAGATTTGGGAGCATCAGACACATACTTTTGGTGATCGATATTGACAACTTAGCTTTCTTGAAGGTTTTAGAAGTGTAAGGGTAAGGAATTAGGAAGATTCAACATCTCTACCACTTGAAAATGGAGCTGTACTTCTTTTTTTCCTGTGTTTTTAACCCTCTGATCGTCTTGTGATTGTAAAGACAAACTTTAGTGTAGGGCCTTATTATTATTATGAAAAATTAAATCCATAATTAACTTTGTGATAAACATTGTGATTTGATCTTTAATCTTCTCAAATTTCAATGTAATATATGTTTTCTTTTATTCGTTTGATACAGCAATAACATTTATTTCTTCCTTAAAAAATCCTTAACCTCATAACCTGTGTCTCGAAGCTAATAGAAACAAGCTAACAGTAGTTTGAAATGAACAAGTAAGAGAGAACAAAGTTAATAAAAACCTCGTTTTACATACGTAAAAGAATTTTTGCGAATGTGAAGACAGCATAGATTTGGCAAAAGAAAAGGGACGTGGATCTGTTGGTAAATGTAGTGTTAATAATGAAGTGACGTCATCACGCTCACTATTTCAGTTTCAACCACAGATTACTTGCTCCATCAGATTACCAAAACGTGCTTATTTGTCTCAGCAGTTTCTACCATTTTCCCACGTCCTGTTTAATGTCGTTTTACATTGCCATTGTCCATTGAATCAAATAGCTTTTTTTTTTTTTTTATATATATTATAATTTTCATAAAAGTTATGTCTACCCACTCTGAATATAACTTGAAACTAATTTTGTTTCATATACCGATTTAACATTCTCAATTAAGTGTTTCGATTTTTTTATTATTGTTATCTAGTTAAACTTATTAATAATTTACATAAGAAATATATGTAATGAGAATATACAATTAGATGTTATATTAACATATCATTGAATATTTAAATAAAAATTAATAATATTAACTAGCTAGTACATATTAAATTACAATATAATTGATTAAGAGTTAAAATCATTTGAATTAGAATAAATTTTATGAAGTATAAATCTAACTTATTCTTAAATTTAAGACTCAAGTTTGTCTTATTTATTTATATTTTTAAATATATAATTTAAACCTTTTAATTTAACTTTAAAACTTATATACAAATCTTTTGTAGTTTAAATTTAATATATTATCATCATTATTATATTATTTATTTTTATTCAACGAGGTTTATAAATATTAATAAAGTTAAAATTATACTTACAATAAAAAAAGTTAAAATTATACTTACAATAAAAAAAGTTAAAATTATACTTTTAGTCTTTTATTTTAATTTAATTATTTAATATTTTAAAGTTTTAATTTAATTATTTGTTTTTTAAATGTAATTTAACATGTCATTTTTTTGTTAATTACATATTTCTTTTTTGTTTCTTTTATCATATACACTTGAAAATGCATTGTTTATTTAACTATTATAATAATTAAGTTAACATCATATCTATTATATATTTTAATACATCAAAATTAAAATTTAAAATTAGTTATCTATTAAATTATATATAATAATAATTTTTAATTATTTAAATAGACGAATTTGATTATCATTCATATAATCAATAGACCCAAAATATATGTTTTTTTAGTTTTTGTTATCCGAATTCAAATATTACTTGTTTAGCCATTTAGGGTTAGGGATAGTCGTGGTTTCGTAGTGAACGCCGTTTATTCAGAAGCTATTGTTATCGTTATGATTGTCATTATTACATATATATATATATAAAATGAACGGAAGGTCCTTTGTTTGTGCCTTGGTGGCTGCGTAGCTAGCAGGGCAGAGAAGAAGAAGAAGCTGCTTCTCGATACAACAGTGCCCTTTTCTTCATTCTTTTGGAAAGGTGCTTCACCTCTCACTTCACTTTCCCTATTGCCTTTTTCTTCTACCTCTTTCTCCAATCAACGCGTATCATATGCTCTCTTATTTACTTCCTGATGAAAACTCTATAATTACAAAATCCCAGATTTGTAAATTTTTTTATTTTAATCATGTTGGATTTAAAGATGCGATTTTGTTTGACCCGTTTGTGTGTTTTGCTGATTAAATTAATAGGTTGGTTAAGGTTCATGCCTGATTCATGTTTGTATCTTTTGGGGGGGGGGGGGGTTGTTAATTTATCTTATTTGGTTCTGAGATTTCAGAGATTGAGTTGTTAGAAATAATTTTGAAAAATACCCAAGATGGTGTAGGCAATCTGAGAAATTTAAGCTGGTTTAGATTTTAGGGGGGGGGGGGGGGGGAAGAAGGAAGAAGCTGTTTTCATGCTAATTCGGGGCTGGGTAAAAAATAAAATTTACAATTCTATAGGTTTTATCTTCAAGTTGGAATCACAATTATATATGTATATTTTTCCATATACATATTGATCAAAGGTGTTTTTTCTCTGGATTGCTGATCCTGTTCGTGTAGTTTTACTATGTTCTGGATGTTACATATCAGATCAACCTTATCTTTGATTCTATTTTATTGACCAGGATTTCATCTCTTATGCTTATCTGTTTCTGGATTCTGCTGGTTGGAAAAGAATTTCTTTCACTCTGGCCGCTGTAACAAACTCGAATTGTTCTCGCACCTCTAGGAGGGTGTGGGGTGATGAAGAGGGAGTGATTTGGCTTTGTGTTTTGCGAAGATCAAAGTCGTCAGACATATGGAGATTGTGCCGTGTTTCAGTGGGCCTGTCTCTTGATTATGGCTAAGGGTGGCTTTTGCTGTGTCCCCAGAAGCACTTTCTAATTTGCTACTGAATCTCATCAAATTTAGTGTCGTTGATTGGGCTTCGGGAAAGTTGATGCACAGTAGATTATAATTGGTATTTGTTTTTCTGCCTTAAAGAAATTTTTTGTTTAGATGTAGCTCTTGACATCATTGCAGCAATGTTTAGGTTTTCTTGTTTCCATGCTAATGTCCAAGGCAACAAGGCAAAGGTGAGCAGAAGATGTATTAATCGTTTAGTATTGCATGGTTGATATGATATCACAAGACTTGTTATGACTTTGTGCTTCTTTCTTCTTTCAGAAAACAGTTCAACCATCGGCCGAAGCAATGGTGAAGTCTTTGCAAGATGGTACCCAAAATCAAGGCTGTAAAGATTCATCTAATCCTACAAGTTCATATTCGTCCCCTTCCAGAGAGCAACACCAGCAAATGAATGTCATTGAGAATCATATTAGCAATTGGGATTCAGTTAAGCGTAGTTGTAGGTCAGAGGATCTGAATAACGAGTCTTCCTTTGAATATGACAGCAAGGTTCACCAAACCAGGTGTCTTAAGAAAAGCCAATCTCTTCAAAGTGGGCTTGACCAAGGTGTAAACGAGGGTGATGAAGATCTGGGGTTGTCTTGTGATGGTTCCAAAAGCCACAATGAGTCATCAATTTCAATTTGCAGAAAGAATCACGATGCCAACCCCATGTATCAGTATGGAAAGAATTCAATTCAAGTCAGTTCAGGTTTTGCAAATGATGGCTCACTTTTTTCAATAGGAAATCCAACGCCTTCAGATAAAGATGCTCCTGAAATTTCTGATACTCCATTATCTGGTGAATTAGCTGGTGACATTGCTGACCAGACTCCTGTTCCTGGTACCCTATCTCTAATAAAGTCACGTTCTTTACCCAATATCGGAGCTTCTATGCTTTCTGCTGGAAAAGATGCTTTTAAACGTGCATCTTCATTGTCAAGGTCTTCTGATGATCTTCCTGCTCTACGCATGAGGCAGAAAGATGTACTCTCTAACGAGTATGATGATCAAATAAGGGGAGATGAAGAAAGAGAGAATGATGTGGGAAAAACTGGAGATGGTCACATGGAGAGTTTCTTTGATGATGGTTTTGATTCTTATCTACTTTCTGGTTCAGCAAAAGATTGGGTAATGCCGATTACAGATGATATAAATGATGTCAAACTTCAAGGAGATTCCTCAGTTGACTGCTTGGGTGAATTTACTAACAAGGATTTTAAGATTAAGCGCATTGAGAATTGGGTAATAGGTCTGCAGCATTGTGGACCACCACTAGAGGAAACAAATGAATTGCCTGATTCTATTGAACCTTTAGTTGATTTTTACACGACAAACAGTGTGACTGGTGCCGCTGTGGATCATAAGGTGTCTCCAGGAATGGAAGCAGCTAAAAGATATATATCTTCTCTGGGTGCTAATGCCACCGCGGCTCAGCTAGCAAACCATGGGCTGGTTGTGATCCCCTTTTTGAGTGCATTTGTGAGTTTAAAAGTGCTTAATTTGGCTGGAAATGCTATCGGTTAGTAACATAATTCATTACTTATAAGCTGTGATGATCTTCCTGTTGTCATGAAACTGATGGGTCTTAATTCAGTTATCTTATTTCCCGAGTTCTTCATTTCAGTGAGGATAACTGCTGGTACTCTTCCTCGAGGACTTCACATGTTGAATTTGTCCAGAAACAAGATATCCACTATAGAAGGATTACGTGAACTTACACGGCTTCGTGTCCTAGACCTCAGTTACAACCGTATATTAAGAATTGGACATGGTAAAGCATATTCTGGGTTACATCTCCAAGTTTCTTGTTTATAATATAATAATTTTTTATGCCATTGTCTATTGACACCCAAATGTTGATTGCTAATATTCTCCATTTTGTCCTTTGTTCCTCATTTGCAAAAGGCCTTGCATCATGCTCATCTCTGAAGGAGCTGTACCTGGCTGGCAACAAGATCAGCGAAGTAGAGGGTCTGCACCGGCTCTTGAAACTAAGTATCCTGGATCTGCGTTTCAACAAACTTTCAACTGCCAAATGTCTTGGCCAACTTGCAGCCAACTATAATTCCTTGCAAGCTATCAACTTGGAAGGTAATCCAGCCCAGAAAAATGTTGGAGATGACCAAATGAAGAAATATCTGCAAGGCCTTCTTCCCCATCTTGTCTACTACAATCGGCAGTCCATCAAGGCGAGCACTTCGAAGGACGGAGCAGAGCGTTCATTTCGTTTTGGAATGAATTCCCATCTGGTTGATCGCAGCCTCAGGGCGGATCGCAAGACCACAAGGAAGGGTAGCCATGGTGTTGCAGCCACACGGAGGCCATCAAACACTTCTGCTTATGCTCGAAAAAGTGTGGACTCGCAGAAACTGTCCAGAGGCAAGCAAGGCCTCCTGCCACCAACTAGAACCAAAGTATCATCCCAAAGTCGCCCTCATTTTGATGCTCCCACCAAAGCATTGAACTTGACATCAGAGCGCTCCATGCGTAAGAGTCGCAGTGAGGGAACTCTTGGAGTTCTGTGAGAAGCTGTTCCATAGTAAATTCATTCGTTTACTGCCTGTGTTTCCTTATGCATTTATTTACTTCTGGTTTTTTGAATTCAGGTCATGTTTTCTGTTAGCACCTTTTCTTGTTTTATATTTGTTCCTGCGCTAGATTTTGATAAATTGATTTTGGCTTGTATGCCCAATAAGCTGCTTTATGCTATACTACATTATTTCTATTTCATTATTGGTTGTGTTTTCAGTAAGTTCAAAACATCACTTTCAATTTTTCTAAAGAGCAAGTTTGGTGCAAATTATGTATATTTCATCTTTGGAAGGATAGTTGTCACTTTCATAATTTTATTATGTGGGGCTGTCTAATTGACCCCAAGCGGAAATGGGATTACACAACTGCGTCTATCTTTTTTCTCTTTTTTTTCATTTAAGCTAAATTAAAATAATAATTTTTACAATAAATTTTCATGTGAAATAATTAATTTTTTTGCCAAAAATGTTTGAAAATGATTTAATGATAAACATAGGTTTTATTTTTTAAGTAATATTTTAAGAATATCAGTCAATGAGGTCATAAATAATATTTTTTTAATTAAAATTTACTTTGGATATGTTTTGGAATTATAGTAAAAGAGCGTAAATACTTTCCATATTTTATTTTTTTGACTATTTCTTTTAAGGTTTTACACGGGAGAGATTACAACGGTAATACTATAAATTTTATAAAATAATGTTGATTTTTTGTTATGTCCTTTATTGATATTAAAGATAAAATTATAAAAAATAATAATTATTTATTGATTTTATAAATGATATTAATAAATAAATTATTAAAGTGTTAGTAAAAAAAATAAAGTAATAACCTAAATAAATGCATAATTTTATTACTCTAATTTTTTATAAAAAATAAAAGATTAAATCACTAGAATAAATAAAAAACTTATTAACTCAGTTATATTTTTTTATAAATCTAAATTTTATAAAACTTCTGCTTAACGAACACATAATCTGCAGATGTATAGTCGCAACCAAAACACAAATGTGAAACATTCATAACATAAGGATTGGATTCAAAGTTGTGAATAACAGGAACAATTTTAATTTTTTTTTTAATTTTCATTCGATTTAATTCAAATTTTACCTAGGTCGTGCAAATTGCGTATTATTCGGATTAACCTCCTGACGATACAATTCCAACTATTTCTCTTTTCTTCCTCCGACACTATGAATTCATGGGATTAGTAAAATGGTTAATTTAAAAACAAAAAAATAAAATAAAAATAAGAATAAGCGTGTTATGACTAATTACTTATATTTAAATAAAAAATAGCACTATCCTTATTTCATTAATATATATTAATGTAAATTTATAAATATAATATATATTTTTCTCTTGTATTTATCTTCTTTCCCCTGTAACAAACTGGTTAAATCAGAACCTTTCCTCCATTTTGAAATTGACCGCGAAAACAAAGAGAGTACAAAGGAAATGACAAATGGCGCGAAGGAAGGAAAATCCAAAAGCGGAAGCGTTTCGAATTTCCAGTGTGAAGAGTGAAGAAGGAAAATGGAGATGGGTTTGATATCGGTAGATAGCTGGGCAGAGGGAAGCCAGTTATACTTCCTCACACACCTCCACTCCGACCACACCCACGGCCTCTCTTCCACGTGGTCCCACGCGCCACTCTTCTGCTCCCCCCTCACCGCCAAACTCATCCCTTCCAAGTTCCCACGCTTCGACCTCTCCCTCCTCCGCATCCTCCAACCTAACACCCCTTACACCCTCTCTCTCTCCTCCCCCTCTCCCACTACCCTCCACGTCACCGCCATCAACGCCTGTCACTGCCCCGGTCGGTAACCTTATCCTTCCCCCAACCCAACCCAACCGTTCTGTTATGTTTCTTAATTTCCCTTTCCGTGCCAACAGGTTCCATCATGTTACTCTTTCGCGGCGAGTTCGGTTGCGTGCTTCACACCGGCGACTTCCGCTGGGAACCAAACTGTGAGAAAGCGAGTGAGGCCAGGCGCGTGCTTCGCCACGCCCTCCAGGATGTTCCCGGGGTCGACGTGCTTTACCTCGATAATACCTATTCTAACCCTATCTACGACTTTCCCCCTCGCCATGTTGCTGCTCTGCAGGTTGTACTTCAACTTTTATCACTGTCATCCAAACAAACTTTTTTTTTTTAATTTAGATTGGTGTATGATTCAGGTTATTGATATAATTTCGTCGCATCCTGACCATGACATCATCATTGGGATTAACACTTTGGGAAAGGAAGATCTATTGATTGAAATTTCCCGCGTGCTTCAAATTAAGGTCTCTTCACAAGCAATTTGGTGTGATTTAATCATGGATTTATGTTTATTTCAATGCTAGTGTTATAGCTAGTGTTTTTCAACGCATTTAAAAATACAGACTTGTTAAAATTAAAGCATATGTGCATAATTAGCTGTGTTACTATGTTACTCTCGTTCCAAATTTTGCTTAAATTTGGTTATTAATGTTTGGGGTTACAATTCTAAGTAATGGTTTGATTTTTCACTGCTTTGCTTGTTTTTCAATTGAAGATTTGGGTGTGGCCAGAGCGCTTGCGGACAATGCATCTTCTTGGTTTTAATGATATTTTCACGACGAACACGTCTCTTACTAGAGTAAGAGCTGTTCCTCAATATAGCTTCAGCGTTGAAACTTTAGAGGCGCTTAATGCAATGCGCCCAACTATAGGTATCATGCCATCGGGTCTTCCGTGGATAAAGAGATCCCTTCAAAACAATGAGCTTCTTTCTGGTTCCTTTTTGACGTCTCGTTATAAGAGAGGTAAATGGAGTGAAAATAGTGAGGAGGCTCAGATTGATAAGCAAATGGGAAATGTAGGATCATCACCCGAGAAAATTCACCAGTATATGTATTCAGTTCCTTACTCTGACCACTCTAATTTTGAGGAGATAGAGGATTTTATAAAGCTTGTTCGACCTACAAGCTTGAAGGGTATCGTGTCTTCTTCATCATGCTATATTGAACCCATGTACTATTTTGGTCGACTCTGTCGAGTTAACAACCATTCAACGCAACAGTTGCAGAACAGGTATAAAAGGAAAGAAAGCAGCCCTAGAACTTCATTTGGAGGGACTAATGTTGAGTCAGATGGAGGCAGACGGAAGGTTTTGAAGGGTAAATTTTCTGGTGTTCGTGTGAGCAGGTTTAGTATATTGAGAAGAAAGCACCGTGGAGCGAAGATTCAGAAAGATAACAGTCCTGATCAAGACTGATAATGTTTGGAAATTAAGTGACTTAAGTGATGAATTATGATGCATGATGTTCTGCGCTGCTCTTGAAATCCATGGTGCAAGATATGATCTGCCAATTCGACAATTTCCCAACCCAGGTCAAGATTTTTTCTTTCAATTTTACATTATAAATATTGGTTCATAGAAAGGTTAGATGATCATCAACATGCAATTGGATGAGCTTTTCTATTCCTCTTGGAATGCAATGTGCATTTGGCAACGCAAAATTTGGCTTGTGGCAGAGGAATTTTTTCTTGAATTTGCCGTACTTATTTGTTGATAACTTCATATGGGCTTTCCAAAGTGTGTAAATACTAGAAAATGTATGCTGCATATTGATTGCGTGAGTTAAACTACTTTCTCCCAAAGCTTTCTTCCTAAACGTCTAGAAATGTAATTTGAATACAAGTTATACTCAAACATTTATTAGATAATATATATTGGGTAATTACTTGTTATGAGATATGATTCAGTATGCATAGATCCTTAAAATTTGACGACATATCGGTATTAGATTTCTAAAGAACTTGAGCAAATAAATTTTACAAGTAATCAACAATTTTAAATTTATAAAATGAGAAATGTTAGTTGCACTTCATTTTTGTAAATTTTATAAGAGGAAAGAGATAATTTTTTTTTTATATAAATGATATAAATCCTATAACATTCGTTGTATTCAATTATTTTACCCACGTAACACTATGTGGCAATTGTCTTCGCTGTTTTTTATTTTTGGAAATATTTTTTGCTTTGTTATGATATAAGACAACTACTATAAGTATCCAATGTTAATTAAGTCTTCAATTTTAAATTAATAATAAAATGAATTGATAATTAGCATCAAATTAATAATTACTAAAATCAATATTATATTAACGGCAAAGGATAATGTGTTGCGTATGAATCGTATGGAGCAGCACAGCTGGTGGAACCGTTTGACATGACCACATCTATTTTGCTAACCATGCACAAATGTCAATTGTGCAGGTGAACGCGTGTTATCGTGTTGTGTTGGCGAGTGCCCCAAGTGTTAAGAGTAATTATGGTTCGTGGCACTCATTTAATATCCACTGATTTGCAAGGCCAAATTTATAAAAGATTTCTTCGAAAGTGGAAATGTTTATGCGGCGGAACCGTATAGTCTGCAAATGCAAAACGATAGCTTGACCTTATATTTGAGGTGAGTGTTTTGCACTCTTAAAAAAGCGATGCAATTTGGCTATGATTAATGGATATTGTTATAAGGTGACGGGTGGAATGGAACACGTTTATTATCAGCCAATCTGAAATAGCCGAGCAGAACATCCCAATTCATCATGCATGTCAAATACATTTGATCATAATGGATTATGTTGTGCATTTGAAATTCGTTACGATGAACCAAATGGTAATGAATTTTGTCCTTATTTTTGTAATTTCTTGGATTATTGGGTTTGCACTGCAACAAGGAGGGAACGATAGTATAATGTAGAGCAATTTTAGACCATAGTACCCGTGTAATCAACGATAGTATACTAAGGAAGGTGCATTGTTGGTTTCGTAGCTTAGCAGGGTAGCAGCGAATCATTTTATATCTCAAGTCTTGAACAAACAAAATAAATTTTTTTAGTGTTTTTATTTTGCGCATTACCTCCATTTCTCTTCTATCTTATTTTTCTGTCTCTGTTACGACATATCAACGATCACATTTTTTTTTTCTCTCTCTTCTTATCTCTCACTAAGTATATGCATCATACCTATATAACCACCATTTTCCAAATTTTAATCATATACTGTACTTCATAAATGGACAATCGTATGCTCTGGATAGTGCGTATATATCAATTTGAAGAAATTAATGATCATCTCTATTTATTTTTGTTGCTTGAGTCTACTAGTTTTAAGAGAATATGTTAAACTCTGGCGGTTTGAAGAGCCAAACTATTCTTGAACCTCTAGGAGGTTGTGGGATGACGGAGATAGAGTAATTGTGCTTGTGTTTTACAATCATTAAGCTCATCAGAGATAGAGATTGTAGTCGTTTGATTAGGCTAAGGTTGTCCCCAGAAACTCTTCCTAGTTTGCCACTGATCGAATCTCAGCAAATTCAAGGCCTTTGACTAGGCTTGAGGAAAATTGATGAGCTGTATATAGATTCTCATTGCTGCAATGTTTCGCTTTTCTTGTTTCCATGCTCATGTCAAGAACAACAAGCCAAAGGTATGCACAAGAAGCATATGCAGCACAAGAGGTTGAGTGTAAATTGGTTCCTGTCATGTGACTTAGTGCCTTTATTTCAATCAGAAAACAGTCGAAACTTCTGCTGACGAAATGGTGAAGAAGGCTTCGCATGATGGTGCTCAGAATCAAGTGTCTAAAGATTCATCTATCCTTTCAACCTCTGAGTGTCAAGTCAGTTCAGGTCATGCAAATGATGGCTCAGCTTTTATAGTAGGAGATTCAATGACTTCAGATAAAGATGCCCAAAAAACTCTTTATACTCCATTATCTAGCGAGTTAGCTTCTGAGTTTCTTGATCAAGCTGCTGGTCCCAGTGCCCCATCTTTAATGTAAGTCACATTCTTTACCCAAAGCCATAACTTCTACACTTTCTTCAGGGAAGTGTGCTTTTAAACATGCATGCATCTATAATGCCAAGAGCTTGTGACATGCTTTAGGCATGAATGATGAAACAGAAAGAGGTAGCATCATCAATGGGTCTGATGATCAAATCAGGGGAGATCAAGAAGTGAAAAACATGGGTAAAATTGAATTCTTGAATATATTGGTTATTTGATCCTTTAGTTTATGCTAACAACATAGATGGTGTGGCAACTAACAGGGAAGATCATAGGGTCACCACAGGAATGGAAGCTGCTAAAAGATATATATCCTCTCTTAGTGCTAATGCCACTGAAGCTCAGCTGCCAAATCATGGATTGCTTGTGATCCCTCTCTTTAACACGTTTGAGAGTCTAAAGATTCTCAACTTGTCTGGAAATGCTATTGGTTCGTAATATAATTTATATGTTCATTACTTTTGAGTTTTGACTTGCTTCATTGTTGTGATATAACTCATGTAACAAAATTCTGTTTTCCAGTGAGGATACCTGCAGGTGCTCTTCCTCCACGACTTCACTCTTTGAATTTGTCCAAAAACAATATCTTCATCATAGAGGGATTGCGTAAACTTACACGGCTTCGTGTCCTAGACCTCAGTTACAACCGTATAAGAAGAATCGGACACGGTAAGAAAAATGAACTATGATATTTATACACCTAAGCAGTATTATCACCTTTCTTTCACTTAATTTTTCTCTCGATTTCTTTTTTCTCTTTTCCTTTTACATTACATTATTTATCATATTCAAAGATTTCACAGTTAGTGAGTGCATGAATATCATTTTCAGCAAGGCAAATTATGCATGGCATCTAAAGTTTCTTATTTGAAACGTTTTGTATGGACAATGTTAGGGGTGTGTACACCTAGAGAGATATAGAAATAAAAGAGAAAAAAGTGATGAATGCGAAAGATGAAATGGTGTAAAAGACAGAGATAGAGAAAGATGAGAGGTGCTAAATGGGTGTAGACACTGTTTAAGTGTTTATGAATCAAACTTTTCATTTTATGAGAATCATTTTTAATGTCATAGGATTCACTTTCAAATGTTGATTTCTGATTCCCTTTTTCTATTCTTGTTTTTCTTTTTCTCATTTGCAAAGGCCTTGCATCCTGTTATTCTCTGAAGGAGCTGTACCTGGCTGGGAACAAGATCAGTGAAGTAGAGGGTCTCCACCGCCTCTTGAAACTAAGTATTCTTGATATCCGTTTCAATGAAATTTCATCAGCCAAATGCTTAGGCCAACTTGTAGCTAACTACAATTCATTGCAAGCTATCAGTTTGGATGGGAACCCAACCCACAACAGTGTAGAAGATGAACAATTGAAGAAATATCTAAAAGTCATTCTTCCCCATCTTGTATACTATAATGGGCACCCCATCAAAGTGAACACTTTGAAGGATGCTGCAGATGAATCAGTTCAGTTTAGCATGAATTCATATCAATTTGATCGTGTCCTTAGATTAGATAATAAGACCATAAAAAAGGCCAACCAAGGTGTTGTAGCTGCTCAGAGGCCATCAACAACTTCCACTCGTGCTCGCAGAGATCAAACAGTGAACTCTTCAAAACTTTCTAAGGGTAAGCATAATAACACTGACCTACTACCACCATCTGAAGCTGAAGTATCAATCCGAAGTCGGTATTATAGGAGGTTATTTTGGTTTCCTTTATTAATTTGAGGGTACATGTTAATAATATGTTTTTGATTATGCTTATGCTTTGTTAAATTAAAGTGATTGGATCACATGGAAAAATATATAATAATCGTACCTTCAGAAAATGAAATAATGCTAGAGAAGAGAAACCTTCATCTCCAGAGTTCTCTATTTGCAAGGATGGTAGACTGGCACTGTGATCAAGAAGTCTTAGACGTTTTTGAGAGGATACTCCATTGTAAATTGATTCGTTACACTGCTTTTTCATAGTATTCATTTCATGTTTCATTAGTACTATCATTTTATTCCTTTTTCTAGTTTGGTATTTTTCATTAAATTGGCTTTCTAGTTCTTTAAGCTCAATAATGAACTTTCAGGGATTCAGTTTAATGTATTTCTTTTTACACTGTTGACGCTTTTTAAATTATAGGTCGTTCAAGAGCATAAACAATAACATGCTTTTTCTTAACTTCTACAAGCCCATCAGTTGTCACATCTATTCATACATGATGTTACTATTTTTTTTTTTGAGCAATAATGTTATTATGTTTTAATTCTCAAATAAAAATCCAATCATTTTCCATTATTGGTAGTGACTTTTTTTTTTTTTTTTTGAGTTTTATTATTATGTAAGTATATTATTTTTAAAATTATATATTTAAATTTTATTTTTTTGCTCAATAAAATTTCTTAGTTTTTTTAAATGGAAAGATTAAAATTAATTAATTTTTACATGAAATAAAACATTTTTTTAATGTAAGATTCACACTTCTTTTCCTTTTATTGGTTTTTAATGTTTGGTTACATCTTATATTTTGAATAATTGCAACTCAACTGTTAATAATTATTGATTATTCTTTCGGTTTTTTCTTTAATGTTCAAAGTTTAATAAAAAAAAATATTTGATATTTTAATTTTTATAAAATGTTTTTATTTATTTTTTTAATTTGTCTTATTTATTAAGTATTTTTGAAATTTTTTAAATCAAATACACATTAATTAATAAGGATAATACTAAACAAATAATTATTTCTTAATTTCATAAAATGTTGATGAAAAATAAACATAATAAAAATTTTAAAACATTAAAAGAAAAAGAAACGAAGAGAATATTTAACTACTAGAAAAGTAGTGATTATTGTTGTGTATTCGATTTAACCAAGTTGTCAAACTTTACCTGAAAATTTGTATTGAGGTTAAAAAGCCAAAGCAAACCGCAAGTAGTATTCACACTTGGAAGGGGTCAGCAGTAGGTTGCAACACGCCTTAGGCAAACGAAATCTAATTTTAATTTAACAATTATTCTAATCTCTCAAATTATAAACGTAAACAATTTTAATCTTGTTTTCTATAATTTATATTTCATATTTTAAGTAGTTGTAATTTTAACTTTAAATTTATAAAATTGTGGTTCATATTTTATTTTATTTATAATCTTAATTTCATAAAACCATTTTATCTTTGCGTGCTAAGTCTGTTTTAATCACCAAGTAAAAATATGCAATAGGCTCTTAATATGTAAAGCACGTGTGTTTAGGTTTAGAGACGTAGCTCATATATTTATAATGTTTAGGTTTAGTTGTTGAATAAAATTTACTAAATTATAAATTTATTTCTAACATTCCTCTTTTTCCTCATGGGATGCTAAAGAATGAACTTTACCTTAATGGCCTTGACCTCAAAGTGTAATAGGCTTAAATAATTAAGTGGATCACTCTCAGACTATTATGACTCGTATGAATCGATTATCGATCCATTTTTATAAATTGTTCAAGTAATGTATTTAGTGGCAACCCACATTTAAATTTTTTTATATCACTCTAAAATATCTAGTTTCACTCTTTTTAAGTAATTTTATATAAAACAATGCTACTTTTATGAGTTGATTAAATTAGTGATATTTATGTTTTAATAAAAATAAATAAATGAGAAGTGGTAATAGATATTTTGAAGTGACAATAAAACACTCTTTAACTTTATTTATTATGAGTGAACAAAAAAAAAACACAATAAATGTTTCTATAAAAATTATAAATTATCTTATAAAAAGGACTGTTAAAATCTTAAAAAATGTGCCTTACAAAATAAAAAGGAAAGAAAAACAAGTATAGTGTTTGCTTCTATATAATTTGTCCATTTAATCACATATGGTGGATATCTTATATATCTCACATAAAAGAAAATAAAAACAATGGAAAATGCTATTTCAATAATTCCGAAAGCGTAAAGCGATTTTGATCAGGAATTAGAACCTTACCATGATTGTGAATTCAACGTTATTATGTATCAAATGCTTATGTTGACTCATTCATTCTCGTAAGAAAGAGAACCGTGGACCGTTGACTATTCAAAGGAAAATGTACAATTCAGATCCTTGTGGCAGCTGATACTCTATCCTTCACCCGTAAAAAAATCTTAACCATAAATTTATATCTAAGGATTTATAAAATTAAGTTAAACGAAGTAATGAATAATCAATCTAATTTTTACAGTGATCAGTATATATAGTTGTGAAATTGATTAATTTACGTCTCGAATTGGTCAAAATAAATTTCACTGGAAAAAAGATGAAAAGAGAGCTGAAGAATGGTATCCATCTTCTGGTATATGACTTTGAAAATTGAAACAGCATGGACTTATGTGCGAACGTCCAAACAAGGCATTAGAATCATTTCCATTCGCAATTGAATTATCTAAACTTTACACATTACGTAATGTGAGTGTCATACATGTCCTGGATACCACTCCCGTGTAAATGCTCCAAAATGTCAACTTGGAAACGGCAAAGGACAAAGTGAGAATAAGCATTTGGAAAGAGGGAGGGCATTAAATTAAGTCGTATATTAATCATAATTCATGTGAAGTGGGATATTGATAATCAACAGAAATAAATTTAAAAAGCTACTATTTGACTTTTCGCCGAATAATTGGACTCGACCACAGGCTGTGTTTGTTGCACCTTCATGCAAATGACCAAAATGCACCACATCGAAATTTATTTTTTCTTTTCATTTTTAGCCAATGAATTATATCACTTCCACGCGATTAGTCTATGTATGTTGTCACAAAGCAAGGAATTCATCTATCAATGAGAAAGAAATATAATAACTTCAACACGTGTACATACATGACGGTCATATTCATCTAATACACACACACAACACACTTGGCCTATTAATAATGGCCAAGACCAAGACTAAAAGAACTTCCATTGGCCCAAAATTTCAGGGCTACAATGCAACATTTTCAGGCTAAAAGGGTTCAATCGCCAATTCCAAAAGTATCTATTGACTTTGCTTATCAGAACAAAACAAAACAGAAGCTATTAACTTCTTCCTTCTGACACGACCAAGTCATTGGTTGGACCCGTTCCTATGTTCATTCCCCATCAACCACATAATATCTAAAGGTTCTGTGGAAGTTGCAGGGTGGAGCCAAAGCCAAGCCACAACATGAAGAAAAAACCACAGTTATGGTTGTCTCTCCTCATCACATGCTTCGCTTTCCACACCTACACCTCCCTTGCTGCTTTGACAACCATCTCAGCAAACCAATCTCTTTCTGGGGATCAAACTCTTGTCTCCGAAGGTGGCAGTTTTGAATTGGGTTTCTTCAACAAAGGTAACAAATCTAAATACTACATAGGCATGTGGTACAAAATGGTATCAGAAAGAACATATGTTTGGGTAGCAAATAGAGACAAACCAGTTTCTGATAAGAATTCTGCCAAGTTAACAATATCAGGTGGTAATTTAGTGCTCTTTGACCAGTCTCAAAATCTAGTTTGGTCAACCAATTTAAGTTCTCCTAGCTCAGGTTCTGTGGTAGCTACACTTCTAGATACTGGGAATCTTGTACTAAGTAATAGGCCTAATGCATCAGTATCAGATGCTATGTGGCAGAGTTTTGATCATCCAACAGATACATGGCTTCCTGGTGGCAAAATAAGATTGGATAACAAAACAAAGAAGCCCCAATATCTCACTTCATGGAAGAACAGTGATGATCCTGCCACAGGTTTATTCTCTCTAGAACTAGACCCTAATGGAAGCACTGCATATTTGATTCTTTGGAATAAGTCTGTACAGTATTGGACAAGTGGTGCTTGGAATGGACACATTTTCAGCTTGGTTCCTGAAATGAGGTTAAACTATATATACAATTTTACCTTTCAGTCTAATGAGAATGAGAGCTACTTCACCTACTCCTTATATAATACTTCTCTTATATCCCGTTTTGTGATGGATGTCTCTGGGCAGATCAAACAACTTTCTTGGCTTGAAAATACTCAGCAATGGAATTTGTTTTGGTCACAGCCAAGGCAACAATGTGAAGTTTATGCCTTTTGTGGTGAATTTGGGAGCTGCACTGAGAACTCCATGCCATATTGTAATTGTTTAACTGGGTATGAGCCAAGGTCACAATCTGATTGGGATCTTGGGGATCACTCAGGTGGGTGTGTGAGAAAAACAAAGTTTCAGTGCGAGACCTCAAATCCTTCTAACAAAGACAAGGACAGATTCCTTCCCATTCCCAACATGGCATTGCCTAATCAATCACAGTCTGTGGGAGCTGGGAATGCTGGTGAATGTGAATCAACTTGTTTGAGTAACTGTTCTTGTACTGCATATGCTTATGGCACCACTGGATGCTCAATATGGAATGGTGATCTCTTGAATCTTCAACAGCTTTCTCAAGATGATAGTAGTGGACAGACTTTGTTTCTCAAACTTGCAGCATCTGAGTTTCACGATGATAAAAGCAAAAATGGAATGATAATTGGTGTTGTTGCTGGTGTTGTTGGTGGCATAGTGGTTCTTCTCCTAGTCGTTGTTTTTGTCATGTTGAGGCGCAGAAAGAGATTTATAGGCACTGGAACATCAGTGGAGGGTTCATTGGTGGCATTTGGGTACAGGGATTTGCAAAATGCTACAAAGAATTTCTCAGAGAAACTTGGAGGAGGGGGCTTTGGTTCTGTCTTCAAAGGAACATTGTCTGATTCAAGTGTCATAGCAGTGAAGAAGCTTGAAAGCATTAGCCAAGGTGAGAAACAGTTCAGATCAGAAGTGAGTACAATTGGGACAGTCCAACATGTCAACCTTGTTAGGCTTCGTGGGTTTTGTTCTGAAGGTGCAAGGAAACTGCTTGTTTATGATTACATGCCAAATGGCTCCTTGGATTCCAAACTGTTTAAGGAAGATAACTCCAAGGTGTTGGATTGGAAAATGAGGTACCAAATTGCTCTTGGAACAGCAAGGGGTTTGACTTATCTCCATGAGAAGTGTAGAGACTGTATCATACACTGTGATGTAAAGCCAGAAAACATTCTCCTAGATGCTGATTTTGTTCCAAAGGTGGCAGACTTTGGTCTTGCAAAGCTGGTTGGAAGGGACTTCAGCAGGGTCCTTACTACCATGAGAGGAACAAGAGGGTATCTTGCCCCAGAGTGGATTTCAGGAGTGGCTATCACAGCCAAAGCTGATGTTTACAGCTATGGAATGATGCTTTTTGAGTTTGTGTCAGGTAGGAGAAACTCTGAGCCATCAGAAGATGGACAAGTTAGGTTCTTTCCTACATTGGCTGCAAACATGGTGCACCATGGAGGCAGCAATGTGCTTAGCTTGTTGGACCCTAGGTTGGAGGGAAATGCTGACATTGAAGAGGTCATTAGAGTGATAAAACTTGCTTCTTGGTGTGTGCAAGATGATGAAACTCATAGGCCATCCATGGGTCAGGTAGTTCAAATCCTTGAAGGGGTCTTGGATGTGACTCTGCCTCCAATTCCAAGGTCCCTTCAAGCATTTATTGACAACCATGAGAACATAGTTTTCTTCACTGATACCAGCTCCACACAGAGTTCACAGGTAAAGAGCAATGTATCAACAGGATCCTCTCAAGCCAAAAGCAACATCTCATCCGATGACCCCTTTTCCTCAAGACAAAATTAGGACTTTTTCTTGGTTTCTCTCAATTCTAATGTTACAGTAAATGGTGCCATGTTTTTATTTTGAGGTATGTAATTGTAATGTTATGGTTTGTATCCGGATGAACTATTGTAAGATTTTGGTATATTCAACCAAAATAATGTCATATGATCCTGATATAGCAGCTGTTTCTGTATTTGTGTAAGTGGATGATTTGCTAAATTAGACAATTACAATCATAAACACGGTGCTGCTAAGTTAGGTGCGTTAAGTAATAAATTCTTTACAAACTAATTATTTTTTATACAGTTAATCAATGATGTGTTGATAAGCTTACCGGGACAAGAGGGGGTGTTGGAGCTGCTATATTTGCTTCTAGTTACTGTTGAAGTGTGAGATTCTGTGGACAAATTTTGCAGTATAGTAGTTGCTTATTTTTATTTTTATTTTAATCACAGTAAGGATATTCTCAAATCAACTTTTGCGTTTAACAGACTCTAGTTACTGTTGAAGTGTGAGATTCTGTGGACAAATTTTGCAGTATAGTAGTTGCTTATTTTTATTTTTATTTTTATCACAGTAAGGATATTCTCAAATCAACTTTTGCGTTTAACAGACTCTAAATCTCTCCAAATCACGGACTTGCAAATTTGGACAAGTGTCCTCGTCTTTATTCAAGCTTAGGGAAAGAAACTATGTCCTCAAAAAATGATTGAGACTTTGCAAAAGCAAATCATAAAAGAAAGGGATAAAAACAATGATCTTACATTCTATATATAAAGATGCTACTTTTCATTTACATTTTGATAAAATTGGTTTGATAAGCTGTTAAACATGAGCCACATGTTACTAGAGATACCGGTATCTTCCCAGAAAAGATGTACTCTACAAGAATCTCATATTCTAAAATACCCGAACAAATTAAATACTTAACATGCAAGATCAAGATTCCAATTTCCCTCTAACAATGATAGTTGTTTTGGTCTTAGGACTTGCTGATAAATTTTGAGTATATAATTATATTTTAAGTTTTAATGTATAATCTATTTAAAAGATTCTTTATAAAAATAATAATATATGAATGAATTTCTTTATTGCAATGAATTTGATATGAATTCTTAAAACTTATTAAAAGAGACTTCAGATGAAATTATTAAAGGAAATATGTAGTTGTTATCCTAATTCAATAACATCATATGATCTATGTAGCTGATCTGAGTAGATGGCTCAATCGTATGGGATTTCTCTGCCATAGCAAACCATTCTAAACCCTCATATTAAGGCAAGTTTACGTGTTGGAGTTGCCACAGACACGGATCATGATGAAGTGGTTATGCAAAAGGGAAAGTGTATTCCACTAGAACGACGACATTGTCTTCATCTTATTAGTATAGTATAAAGCATGGTTCTGTATTGCTTTTCCTGCATTACTTTATTTTCTCCTTTTCACGTGAGACAAACTCCAGTGATTGCAAGCCACTTCGCTTTTCCATATTTCTTTCTTTACCAACAAAATCAATAAAGAAATTATGTTTTACCAAAGCCAACGTATTGAAACAATAATTGAAGGCATTCAACCTTGGGCAATGATAGGTGTGATTGACAATTGTATTCAATCACAGCAAGTAATGTACAGATAAGTGAATGTGGTTCGTAAGAAGATTGTAACTCGAAGTACTAAATTTACATTTGAATTGCTATATAAACTAATGAAGTAAGGAGAGAATACGTACCGAATTCAGCTAAACAACAAGAATAACTCATTACAAGTTTCATCTTACTAAGATGTTATTAGGCTCAATAGATTTCAACTATACAAAAAACTAAACTACTAATTTTGAAAAAAAATGGCGCACATTCCATCAGACAAGATGAAATTAACTATTTATAGTCAAGGTTCAAAATTGATTTCAATATTTTTTATTTAATCAATTTTACTTTCAATGTCTAATTGATGGTCAAATTAAAAGAAACAGCAATTCTTTTATAATTAAATTGATCTAGAATTATTGAAAGCCAAACGTATGACTATAATCAAAACAAGTACAATCGCTCCTAGTGATCGGAAATGCAATTTTGTTAGACAATTACAAAGCCACAAGTAAGTGGACAAAATCAACTAACATCATTATTCGAGTACATATTTTACATATTACAAACACTCACCAAAAAAAGAACTATCATCAACTATTACCTAAGAAGCTTTGGGTTGGAGAAGGCTTCATCTCCATTGTCCAATATCATAAACCATATTGAAACAAATGCCTTCATTTCTTAAGTGGGTTCAACTCTGACGTACATTAAGTTTAGAAATTCAAAAGATAACAAAATAATCAACTTCGGTCCCATAGTATGCAATTTTGTGTTTGATTATTTCAATTCAACAATTAACTAAATATTTCGTCGTGCGAGCAATCTTAAAATCACATACATATAAATGACCAAATCACAAAAGCAATGAGAAAATGGTGGAAGTAATTAACATGACATAAAAAAAATCATAGTTTGAAATTGCAAGAGTCAAATTACATGATTCAAGTTGAAAAAATTACTTTCCTTAGCCTATTGAAAAAAAAAATAGCAAAAAGAGAAGAAGCCAGAGACAAGAATTAAAGTTAAAGATTCAAGCTATTATGAAATTGCAGGAAAATAAAAATCTCTTGTTTCCAGTGGATCTCTCAATCCCATGACCAAAGAAAATGAATGTCGATCCTCTTTTTATTTTTGTACCGGAAAAAAGGACAAAAGGTGTCAATATTTTGGTTAAGAAATCTATTTATAGACACCAGATACTGATAAGCAATGTGCATGCCTGTTTGAGATTTGATTTTTTTATATATAAAATATTCTAGCAAAATTCTCTCAATTTTAAAAAAAAATTGTCAACAAAATAAATTATCTAAGTCTCCAGTCATCATGAGCATCTCTTTGAATTTTTAAATTTTTAAATTTTTCTTTCTCATTTGCAACTCGTTTATTAAATGATTAGATCAAATTAGATTAAATATTCAAGTAGTTAGATTTTTAGTCATAGGCTTGCTGAAGAAGTGGTCTTCAATAAGAAAGCTAGTCGCCAAGGGGGTTAGAATGCAAGAACGAAGGAAACTCTAACATGCTACGTGCGACTTTAGTAGAAGGAATGAGGGTCCAATTTTAGTTCTTCAATATCTTCTTTTTCTTCCTCCTTGGAATCCCATCATTCACTCTCTATGAATCTTAAAATGGGAAATGCTCAAACCACATTGGGGGGTTTAGAAGTTTTGGGGTCTTGTTCAAATTTACAAGCATGGAGGAATTGGTCTGTGGTATTGTAGGTTGGAGTAGCAACAAGCATCATTGGTGGTTGTGAATAGTTGTGGTAAGGCATAAAAGATGAACATAGGTGTGGGTGTTTAGATGGTGAAGGAAGCCCAACAACTAAGCAAAGGTGAGTTTCTTTTTAAAAACATAAAATAGAAAATTAAGCTTCTTCAAAAAGTAGTGTCGCAAAAAGTACCTAAGATGCACTATCTTTAGTGTAGCCTATGATAATTGTTTAGGAGTATTTTGATGAAAAAAATATAGCAATTAAGAATAATAAAATTTTATATAAAAAAATATTTATCGCACTTTTATAATTTTAATGTAATAAATATTTCTTAATAAAAAATATTATTTTTAGATTTTAAATTTAGATTTAAGAGTTGAATTAACAAAAACTCATATTTGATTCAATTTATTTTGAAGGAAAAAAATATTTTAGTTCAAAAGAACACTTAAGGAATGTTTGAAAGAATTAAAAGTAATTTATGAAATTAGTTTATGATTTTATAATTATTTTATTTTTAAAATAATATAATTTATTAAAATAATATCTCTTAATAATTTTATAGCCAAATTTATGGTGTAATCTCTCATATAATAACATCATTAAATAAACACTTAATTATAGGTGAAGATAATTATAAAATGAACATTCGAAACTATTTTATAAAAACAATTGGTTTTATAAGAAGAATTGGATATCTTGTACAATTTCCTAACTATTTGAAGTGAAACAAGAAAGTTTACAAAAATGATGATAAAGGAAAAATAAAAAAAAGGATTAAAAATATAAAAAATATTAAATAGTAATTGACTAATAAAACATATATTTATAAAAAAAAATTTACGTTATTGTCATCATGTTTTCAAATTAAATGAAATTTTTTATTAATTATATTTTGTAGATTTTAAAAACAAAAAACCATATTCGTTTGATTAAACAATGGCCATAAAAATAATTTTGTCCCAAGAGATATTACAAAGAGAGTGAAATATGAGAATATATAATACCTTAAATTATGATTTATCATAAAAACAAAAAAGTTATTTATATTATATGTTACAATAAAACTAATCAAATTATGAGGCTTAAATTAAGATGAGGGGCCTAAATGTGTTAACTTTACTTTAGATGATACTTTCATTTGTTTAAAGGAGAGGAAAAGATTGGAGAAATTTTAACATAGGAAAGTAAAATGTTTTGCTTCAGTGTCGAAACTTCCATTCTTGCTCACAGTAATGTTTGTATATGTGTAATACTTTCCGTAGGATTTACTTTACTAAAGAAAAAAAAACGTGTAAAATGAAAAAAATTAAAATTTATCAATTATTAATTTAAAATGGATTAAATTTCAACTTTGAATAAACAGTAAATAAACTTTTATTTTCTCCCTTTACGCATCTCTTCCTCGTTGTTGAGGACTGAGGAGATAAATTCACTGCACATCATGATATGCATAATTTAAAATAGTATAATCCAAAATTAAATAACTATGCATTTACTGAAAAGATCTACTGATTGAAGCATTGATTGCCGAAGATTTTAAATTCACAGATCATTAATACAGTGATATTATTTCCGATGAAAATTCTACAACAAATTAAACCTTCGATACAACAACCAACATCTTCCTATCAAATTTCATTAACTACATTTTCTAGCTTGCATATGTTAGTAGCTATGTAATGTCAGAAAGGCAAAACAAAAGGAAAATAAATGTTGAACAGTTTCCACAAGCAGAACAACTGCAAGAAGAGTTGTGTCACTGTCCTTGGTGCCAAAAGAAAGCTTCATTTCACGAAGCACAAAGCAAATCAGCAGAGAATGGAAAAGCACCAAGCACGAGAAAGAGAGTTCTCACGTAAAAAAATTAATGGCCATTATGATTACGGTACTTCCCTTGTAGCACACTTTCCATAATGACCCCTATCTTTGCATTGTTGTAGTAGTAGACTTTGTCTATGCCTTGCACAACTTGGCAACTTTTGATTGCATGTGTCCAAAACAGAGAAAACGTAGAGCCATGATGATGTCAAAATAATACCAAAAAGCTTCCCCCAAAACACCGTAAACACTAAGCTTATTAGAATCAAGTATATTCCATAACACTCGAGCTTGTTTTGCTTCTCTACTGGGCTTTCACGGTTTTTCTCATTGGTGGATGACACGTTCTTTGATTGTGATGATGATTGTGGCTGTGGGCATGAAGAAGGTGAAGATGAAGGGGTTTTGGTTTCTGCGTAATACCCGTGCTTTGATGATCCAAAAGAATCATGGGTATAACGATTCTTATGTCGGGTTCTCCTATTCTGCAAGCCAAAGGAATGAATTCAAGTTAATTATCAAAATAAAAACCGTTCAAATAATAAATATTTTGTTTTTCTATAAAATGACGAGAATACATGGACTTTTAAGTTGAAGATACTCACCAAAATGGTTTCGAAGAACACGGCTTTAATCGCCCGAGAAATCGTTCGTTTTGGTGAAACGTGGTGGAAATAAACAGATTTGGAGTCTGAACTTTTGACTATGTCGTTTTTGTGTGAAGCGGGGATGCATGAGAAACGACAACTAGTTGAACGATGTGTGGCAACTTTGGTTTGGAGCATGGCATCTATGTGGACAACAGGGCGAAAACAGAGTAGGAACTTGTTCTTTGAAAAGTTCCTCATGTTGAGGAAGTCACGAGAAAACGCGGGTCTTGGCTTGGTTGGAGATATTTTTTGGTATAAGTGGAAGCAAGCAAGAGAAGATGACAAAAAAGAGAGGGTTAACTCTGTTTTGAACATGAAGATTTTTGGGTGTGTTTGGTTTTATAGCTAGACAAAGCAGAAGCTAGTGGGTATGAACCCGTGTTTGTTTGGCTCTTGACATGACCATTCGTTATTCAAATTAATAGTTTTTCTTGCTTTGAGGGAAAGGTTTAAAAGTGGGGGAAGAGAAAAAAGAAGAGGCACTTTGGGGCTCTGTGTTAGGGACAGGTTGAAGGATGTGACTTGCCGCTTTTAAGAAAGAGCGATGGGGACAGAGAGACACTCTTTTTACTCATTTTAATTTTCCAATACCATAATCACACCCAGAAAGAGTCTCCCATTGATTGAGTCAGCTGCGTTCACCATTCATTTCTATTCTTTTAGCATGTTAACTCTCTATTTAATTATGTCCAAGGTTTCATTTTTTAAGTAATTAATTTAATTTATTACAAATATTTTCTGGAAATTATTTGAAAATTATTTTCGTATTTTTTAAAAAGCAACTTTAATAACACTAGTTTCTGAATTTGTAGCTAGAGATCGATCAAGTTTCAAATTGCGTCCTAATTACACATTTTATCGTGTGACAAATGCATATCGCTTCGTCCATTAATATAAAATTTCAACATGCATCGTGTTTCAGTTTCTGTTGAGTCTTCTGCGACACATAAAGATAAATAGTAAACAATTGCGAACACTAGTTAAGTATAAAATAGTTTATTTAATAACAATTGGTTAAATTTGTGTTGGGTATATATAGAGGCCAAAATTTTGTTCCCTTCCCATTATGAATAGACATTGTATTAGTCTCTGGCGATGAAAGCACAAAGTAAAGTGATTGTTTGGTTTAACTTAATATGTTGATTGATTTTCAATTTGAATTTTAAGCACGGACTCTAATACGAGTTAAATAACAATAACATCGTTTTTGCTTTAAACGAATCGATTCTTTTGAATACAGAAACCGATCAAAGCTCCCTTTATTCTTTTTCCTCCGTTCGTTTTTTAATGTTTCCCACACATGATTCATGAATCATGGCCTATCATATTTTATCGCCGAAACAGAGTCCGAGAGAGAATGCTTTTGGAATGATTATACCGTGTTATTATTCTTCGTACCAATATGTTTCTGTTCTTTTAACTTTCCTTCATCGTTACCATAAAGTTAGTTTGTAGCACATGTTTAATGAGTAACAAATACCTTCAATGAATTGGAAACCACCTTCCTATAAATTCTACTTTTTTTAAAGCTTCACTGGAAGTTTATTAAAACAAATCATATGCTTTAAAAGTTTAATCAAACTATAAGAAGGCTTAAGAACTAAGACCTTCTCAACATTATTTCGTCTTGCATGTTAAGACAACCTTTATTGGCATGTCGCATTGTTATAATTGAGTACACTTTACTTTTATGTGCCATGCATTGCCAAAGTAAAATTGTTTGGTAAACAATCTTTAGTTGTTTGTATTTAAATGTGTTTAAAAACATTATTTAATTAAACTTTTATTCAATAAGTTATTTTTATACAATAACTTATTTTGTAATTTTGATTACAATTTTTTTTAAAATAGGTTTAAAAAATTATAAGTTATTGTTATAATTTTTACACGTCTTTTTAAATATTTCCTTTGAAATATAAAAATATTTACATTTTTGAAATTTAAAAAAAAATTATTCATATAACAAAACTAGTTAAAATAAACTAAATTTAAACTCAAATATTCATATAATTCCAATTCAATTTTCATGAAAAATAATCATTTTAATATATTTTTTTCTCGATTTATAAAGTGGGTAATGGTAGTAGTTTGAAGATGTAGTTAACCTGTCTTTGAGCCCGAACGCAAACATGGTAAAAAAACATATGCAGGTAAAATAAGGTTAGTTTTTTTATTGTCATTTTTTAATTATTAAATATAGATTTAATTGTGAATTTAGTCCTACAGTTGAAAATACTTTTATTTATTATTAAAATTTTATATTTTAATTCTTATATAAAAAGTCATTTTCACATCAATCCGCATTATTTATCGAAGTTACAATAATTTACAGTTCATGTATTGCACATGATTTTTTTAAATTCCTACATATATTTACATTTTATTTTTTCCTTTATATATAATTTACATTTTAATATTTTATGCATAACATTTTTTTTTCATTTTGATTTCTACGTAAAAAAAAGTACACTCCCATAGTTTTAATAATTAGTGCTTAATACACTAACAAAGTTAAAATAATATTAATTTAGGTTGCTTCTCCCAAATTTATCCTTGAAGGATGTAGAAAGAGAGAAGGAAAACATCATTTTATTTTATCACTTTAAAGGCTTCGCCAATTAGTGCTTACTATATGAGACAATAAATTAATAAGTAAATTATTTATTAAAATTTATAATAAAAATTATATTAATGACACTTTTTATAAAAGAAGGATTTAAAGTTTTTAGATGCCCTCCAAAATTCTTTTCTTTTTTATTTTTTTTTGAAAATTTTCACTTTAGAAAGTTTTAATATTAAAATAAGAGAAGAAATTAACTTTTTTTTTCTCTTCTTTTTTTCTATACTTTTCAAATCATTTTATTTTCTATCGTTTTAAAATCTAAAGGAAAACCTAAAAAAAACGTTAGACTTCTAATGTTTAACAAATTTCTTCAGTATTTTATTTTATTTTATTATTGACTTATTTCTTCCTAATTATATGTGTACGTTTGTTTTATTTTATATTTAAAAAAAAAACAATACACAAATAGTTGTCCGAATCATTTGCTCGAATCAGTAAATGTCATAAGGCCCTGCTTATTTTTTTCTTGCTCAACACAAAAAGCCCTTCTGTTTTTTTTCAGTCTGAAACAAAGCCCTGCTTAGGGCAAATGGGTGGTTTATTCAGTTTAGGATTCCCCCGCAGACAAAAGCCCATTTGCTCATATTCCTTGCACTCATTCCCTCCAAAAACAATATTTATTATTTATTCAGAAAAGTTAAATATTATAAGAAAAAAAAAAAAGTCCAACATCTTTTAGGTTTTGTTATATGTTTTAAAATTGATATCAAAATGATGTTCATAGAGGATTTTGTTGGAATGACATTTTAAGCAGAAAATAAGTAAAAACCAAACGGGTGGCAAAAGTAGTGTTATATGCAGTTAAGGTAATTTTGAATTAATTACGTTTAACTAAATTGACACCGATACTTATTAAAAAACCAAAATATTTCATACATATAATTAGCAAATAAAAAAATGCGTTCGCTACATACAAATTGCTACTTCTTTCGTTTCAAATTAAGCGTCGTTTTAGGAATTTTTTATATTCAGTGAAGTATTAAGAGTTTAGTGAAATATTAAATTTTTTATTTTATTTTTCTTAAATAAATAATAAATGTGATATTTTTTAGTATTGCATTCGTCAATTTAGTAAATAAGAAAATAAATAGTAAGAATAATTTCATAAAATTATTCTATTAATTAAGATAATAAACAGTTATTTTTTATCTCTAATACGAAAACCTTAAAATGAAGTGAGTAGTTGACTAATTATATTGATATCCTCAAATAGCCAAAAGTCTAGGTAAATGAGAATTAGTAGACTCACCAGAGTAGACATGTCTCAAGTAATTTAATTCTCAACAACTGAACTAATCTTTCTTGACTTTAATTGTACGTTGATCAGTGTAATTAGAGGAAATCATCTACTTTAGTAAATCAGAATTTCTTTCCCTTCAGAGACACATGTCGTTGTATGGGTGTTTGGAGTAAGAAATTTTTTTTAAGTTATAAAATCAAATTAGAGTTTTTCCGAGGAGTTTTTAAGTCTATAACATTTAAAGTTGTTCAAAAAATAAGACTAACACGAAATTATTCTAAATTGGAGACTTTTTTGAGGAGTTTCTAAGTCCCTTACACTCAAAAAATAGGATTGACAGGAAAATATTCTAAGTCCATAAGACTGAAAGTTTTTCGATGAGTTTTTAAGGAGTTTTCAAATTTCTGACATCCAAAGTTGCTTAAAAAAATAGGACTGACAAGAAATTCTAAGTCTACAAGACTGGAGATTTTTTCGAGGAATTTTTAGAGGAGTTTCAAGTCCTTGACACTAGAATTTGTCAAAAAACAGGAAGTGATCAGAAAATATTTTAAGTTTTTAAACATGGTTAAGCTCTAGATTCTCTACAGAATTGCTCAAAAAACAGGAATGAGTAGAAGAAATATTCTAACCAAAAAGAGCTCTCAATGTTCCCCAAAATTAGTCAAAAAATAGAAATCGAGGAAAAAATTATTTTAAACTATAATGCTAAATGAGCTTCATAGATTATTCTTGGAACCACTCGAAAAATGGGAAAAAAGATTTTAAGTCCATCAGAGTCATGATAAGACTTAAAAGTGATTGCAAAGCTCAGAAACAATTACCAATGGTTAACACAAGACGAAGGTTCAACAAACATGAAGAAAGATCGTGAGTGATGGCAGTTATAGAAGAAACTCTAACCGACAGTATGATCATAAGCAATTGTGGATAATGGACAGTAACGGTTGAAGGCAAGCATGTATAGAAGACAGTTGCTAAGAAGTGTCCGCAAAAGAAGGAGAACGGTGTTGATCCTCTTACCTATAAATACTCCAAAACTTCATTTTACAAATGACAATTTTTTACACTCAGACATTGCACCTAAAAATCTTTGCACGCTGAAACTCTGCACTGCGCCAGACATCAGCTATTAGGAGGTTAACAGTGGTTGTTTGTTGTTGTTAGGAGTTGTATGTTATATTTTTGTACATTTATATTTCTACATTTTTACTTTTCTAGTTTGTCTTACGTCTTTTGTTTATGCAATTTTCTTCTTATTTGATACACTATAACAATTTGCGTTCAATTTAATACGCATTTCTATTCCATAATTTTACTATCCTGCTAAATTATTTATTTTACTATGTTAACTTTACTGTTATGTTAACAACACATTTAAAAGAATCCAAGAGAATTTAAATACAGTC